CCAGTTGGGTCCTGAGTTATCAAACCTTGATGTGAAGTCTCAAAATATTAGAAGCAGCTCCAAACTAATCATGAAAACATCTCGATATATTTGCAATGGCAGAATAGCCTATGTAGGTGTACCTAATTTTGTGGCCCATGAGCACATTTCCTGCTTCAAGTTCCTCCTCTTCATCCCTGTAACGCAGGGGTCTCAAACTCATTTTATGCCGGGGACTGCTGGAGATAGAGTCTGATTGTCTTTTTTTTTATCAAGTATTAAAAAAAAAAGACAACTAATCCAATCTTCTCATTCTTTATTAATAACGGTTCAGAACATTAAGAGTTCTTCAGAAGTTGAACAAGTTTGGTGACCTGTTCCTCTCTATTGCTACTTTGCATGCTTCTCAACATGTCTTGTTGCGTAATGATGTCTGATTTCTTGAGGACCGTAACATTGCCTCCTGTTTTTCTTGAAATTGGCCATTCTTCTCGACCAACCTTGCTCTTTAAAGGCAGGTTTTGTAAGCCATGAGTGGGACTTCCTTATACTTGGTGTCACTTAGGAATTCCTTCAAAATGAGTCTGAACTATGGTAGCCCATAAGTCATTAAAACACACACACACAAACACACAAAACAGCAAAAAAAAAAAAAAAAAAAGTGGGCACTGCAAAATATCATGATGCTGGCCGCAAATGACCCGCGAGCCTCCAGTTTGAGACCACCGTTGCAGCGCTTTTCAAACTGTGCCTAACGCAACAACAACAACAACAACAACAAAAGGTCCGTATAGCATCAGTAGAAAAGTAGAAATAGTAAACATGTGACTGTCATTGAAAGTGAAAGCTGCAATTTGACCAAATACTTAAAGCTGTAATCTTCCTGCTCAGCACATTAAATGGCGCCTGAGATTTAAGGCCCCTCGCCACCTGCTCTTCCGGCCTGCCCGCACTTGTCGTCGTCAACTTCAACCACGTGACCAAAGGCGACGTGGGGGTGGGGGGGCGGTTGTGGCTTAAGTGCGCTTAAGCCTGCTTTGTGGTGACCGCTGAACTTCAGTTGACGGCCACGAGAGTTCCAACGTACCGACGGCGGAGAGAAGTCACCTGAGAGCTGTCGGAGAAACGTGACACCTGATTGATGACGTGATAGTAGTTGAGGATCAACACAGCTCCTTGTGAAATTTTAGTCATTTTATTGAACAAGTCTTAAGAAAACAAACACTTGATCAGCGCATTATTTTAGAAGCCGCCGATGGCCGCAGCACAATTGACACTCTCATTCGCTGAGCCCACGTCACTCACCAAGCCAGGCCCTGCCTGTTTAAAGCCTTACACACACAAAGTCACAAATACTACAGCGGACCATGTGTATGGCGACCTCCCCCAAAATATAAATATAAAAACATTAACAATCCAAAAGAACCATAACAGCACTCCACTTGGCATCCTTTCCTTCAAGCAGTTGAACGACAGAATTTTTCATCAATTAAGAATATATTTGGTGTTTGGCATCTGGTTCGATTCCGTTGAAAGGATTGCTTTTATTTCACTTTTTTTTTAACGAGAACAGTGATTAAGAATATATTTGGTGTTTGGCATCTGGTTCGATTCCGTTGAAAGGCTTGCTTTTATTACACTTTTTTTTTTAACGAGAACAGTTTTTCAGAGTGTAAAATTAAGTAAAATAAAAATACTTGATACGATGGTTAACTGCTACTTTATCATGTGCAGTTCGTAATCTCAAAACCGCAGATGTTGGGACTGACGTAAACCAAGGAAATGGCTAACGGGATGTTATCGCAAAAATTAGAGCAGTAGTACTTCCTGAGTAGTGACTCGTTTTAATCAGCGACGTGCAATGCGCGATTAGCCTTGAATCAGATGCCTCATTATTATTACACTACCAAAGTTCTTAGCGGCTTAGGGAATTGGTCTGAGGAGATTTGGGGACTTTGTGATTTTTTAAAAAAAAGTTTTTCAGAAGTAGCTTTCTGGCCGCAACGCGGTTCTTTTGCTGTAAATTATACACCAAGACGAGTGTTGGATGTCGCAGTTTTCCTTGACTCCTGTCACCGCTACCCAGCCGCAACATTTGTGGATGTGAGTCACCTCATGTTTTTTTTTTATTTATTTTTTTTTAATTTATGTAGTCGCCCTGCCCCACTGCCTGCAGTAAATCATGTGACATAATCTACTCATTTCTCAGAAGGCTCTCAAAATTCCAGTAAACACGTCCGGACTGTCAGAATCGGGGCGTGGGGCCCGGCATGTCACACACGGAGCCGCTTGGGGGTCACTCTTACGACATCATGTTTGGTGGGGCCCTCGCCATCTGGGAAATATTTCATTCCGCCACTCCTGACGCAAAGTCGTACAAAAAGTTCAGACTGGGCTGGACAGCAGTTACGTGTGTGGAGAACCAATGTAAAATGTCTTCCTCGTGTTGTTTTTGCCAAGGCTGGAGTACGCTTTTAGTGTCAGTCACTACGCATAGCTGGCGGCCACTTGGAGGTGTGGCCTGAAGCCCAAAAATCTAAGATCGAAGGGGTAGAGGACAATTCGGTGTTTTGAAACATGTTTCATTCGCTGTTAAGTGCTCCACTAGATTCTCCGTTCGTTATTTAAAATTGTGGAGCCTGTTCCAGTTTTAGAGGACAGAGGAAAGCACTAGCAACGAGGTTTTTATCGTACGGTGAAAAGAATGGCACATGATAATGAAGAAGTAGCGTTGGTGCTACATGGCGAAGTCGTATCTTAAACGGGGGACTGCCTCACAGTTGCAAACTGTTCTCCTTGCCATTTTTTATTGTGGTGAATGACTTGCGAGACACTTTTTAAGACAACCACTTGTTCCTCTTTTTTTTTTCCTGTCTGGTAGGAAGCGCAAGCTCCCTATTTGGCATCTCTCTGTTTTGTGTCACAGTCACAAGAGTTTGCGGTTTGACCAAACTCGGTGTTGAACACACGCAGAACGGTTGTGCCATTGCGGGTTTAACTCATACGATTGTCCGCCCGACAGTTTTTCCGAGGAGGGAAAAAACACTCTGTCAACAACACACCGTCATCCTGGAAAAACTTTCAATCGCTAATTAAGGGTGTTTAAAAAAACAAAAACAAAACAACGACACTCGTGTGTAAAGAGAGCGTTAACTTGAAGCCCATGGCCCTTTTTTTATTAAAGTTGTGACGTTCCCATGCATCTAATTATCTTACGATACCAAAGTGCCATGAGACGGCAAATCGAGAAGAATTTTCTGTTTCCTCTCAATTATTTTTTTCCTTTTTAACTTTTGCTAATCCTATAAATGAAAACTCCCTTTGTGATCCGAATGTGTTGAAGGAGCCTACTTGCCCATATCGAATCCCGTAAATGAAAACAACGCCATACCCGTGGCCTGCCGAATCAACGTTACGATAACGTTGCGCAATGCAGTTTGCGTTTAAGAAGCCTTCGGGGAGTGGACTATTAGCTGGCTAATTGCTGAGTGAGCGTTCAGCAAAGGAAAGTTGCTCGTAAATGATTCACCCGCTGGTGTTTGCATGTGGGCCGAGCAGCGCCGTTGTGGGTGAAAACAGACTTTTGTCGACAGTAACTGGAGACGCTCTTCCTGCTGACCCTGTTTCCAGTCCAACTGCTTTGACTCCCAGTCTCAGCCACAAGCTCATTAGAGTCAGTTGGTGTAGTAAGGAGACAGACTGACGTCTCTGCCTCCCGTAGGCCAAAACGCCGACCCTCAGTAGTGGCTCTTGCGTAAGTAGAGGAAGAAAAATGCTTCCCCTTTTAACTGGAAATGCGAGTCATCCTTCTGAAAACAAAGCGGCTTTCCCGCACTTTGTTTTGCAGATTAGCGTACGTTTTTCCCCCTGAGTTTATTTCCTCATCATCAGGGGAAAGACGTCTTTCTAAAGAAGCCAAATCTACAAACGGCCAAATTAAGCCCTGCGAAAATAAACAAGAGCGAGCACTTTCAACAACTCTGGCTTGATCCCCGACGCCGCTCCCGGTCATTTTCCTTGACCTCGCCTTGAACTCCCAGACGCTTGGAGTGGCCTCTTCACTGCAGCCCGCTTCACATTTTTCACTGTTTTATGAATCTAGTCGTCGCCGCGTGTCAAGAAGATTCAAAGTGCTTTACACTCAGTCGCCAGAAATTCTTCACATACATCAGTCCATGTTGTCAGTGCGGGATTCCTCGCAGTCTCGGCTCCCATGTCTGCATCCAAGACACTTAAGTACAGTGACACTTGGACTCATCAAATCATCGAGTCATTGGGTAAAAAAAAAAAAGTATATTTTGCATTATTTACACAATAATGTGCATGTAAGGTGCAGCCAGGTATTATTTTATCCTCCTGGAGTGGCTATAATAGTGTGTATGGCTTTCAAAGGGGAGTCCGAGGCTGGTGAGTGATATGGGTGTCGGAGTGGCTATAATAGTGTGTATGGCTTTCAAAGGGGGGGTCCAAGGCTGGTGAGTGATATGGGTGTCAGCAAATTTGACAGTCGAGTTGGCTGGCTGTTAACTGGCTAACTTGTTAGCGGGTCTGTTTGTTGGCGGCTCGTATCTGAATATGCTTCATACGTGTTTGCTTTCTTCCCGTTTCTTCAATAAAGCTTTGGAAACGCTCACTCCAGAGTGAAGTAAAATTAAGGAGTCAAAGTACTGTCATGCCCTCGCTGATGGACCGCTAGGGCCACGTTTTCAGCTTTTTATTGAACCCGACTCCAGCTTCGGATGTCACTCACTCGGCCACGTTCTTTACATGCTCTCGCACGTCACACCCTACCACTGTGGTAAATATACCATCAGAGTTGTTGTGTTCCCAACAGCGTAATGCGGCGAACTCGCGCAAGCAGGACATAAAATGCCATTGTCTCGGGCCATGCTGAAAGCAGCAGGCCCTCACGTGGGTGGATACATTTTCATTTGATCTGAAGTGTTGAAAAATGTCACAATATGTATTTTTTTTATCGGATCGTATCCCTATTGTAATCGTTTGACTTCATATGGTTGCAGTCCACCTGCTCCGGGGTCCAGCGATGTGGATCTGCATGGTTTACAACGAGACGGAAACCAGCGTGGACTTCCGCCTGTGCCAGGACTTTGGCCTCATCCTGTCCGTGCTGTCCCTGGTCTATTTGCTGGTGTGCTTCCCCTTGGGCCTGTGCTACAACATGCTGCTGGTGGCCGTCAACCTCTCCAACAAGGTATCCATGACCATGCCCGACGTCTACTTTGTCAACATGGCCATCGCGGGCCTGGTGCTTAACGCGGTGGTGCCCGTGGAGCTGCTGAGCTCCACCTTCACCCGCTGGCACGCGTGGGAGTACACCAACGAGGTGTACATCACGCTGCTCATCCTCTTCAACATCTCCTCGCTGGTCATCATGTACTCCACCACGCTGCTCAGTCTGGACTACTATATCGAGCGCGCCCTTCCCCGTACCTACATGTCCAGCGTGTACAACACCAAGCACGTTTGCGGCTTCATCTGGGGCGGCGCCGTGCTCACCAGCTTCTCCTCGCTGCTCTTCTACGTGTGCAACCACATCTCCACCAAGATGGTGGAGTGCTCCAAGATGCAGAACAAGGAAGCGGCCGACGCCATCATGATGTTCATCGGCTACGTGGTGCCCGCCGTGGCGGTGCTGTACGCCTTCGCCCTCATCCTGCGCATCCGGAAGGAGTCCACGCCGCTGGACCAGGACTCGGCCCGCTTGGACCCTTCCATCCACCGGCTGCTGCTGGCCTCCGTGTGCGTGCAGTTTGCGCTGTGGACTCCGTACTACGTGACGCTCCTGGTGCACACGGTGGCCGGCGCGCCGGGCTACGCGGGCGGCTCGCGCTACCTGCCCACGTACTATTTCCTCCGTTGCGTGTCCAAGCTGCTGGCGTTCTCCAGCAGCTTCGCCATGCCGCTCATGTACCGCCAGATGAACAAAAACTTCTCCAACAAGCTGCGGCGACTGCTGGCCAGGCTGCACTGCCGTGACCAGTCGTGTCCGCACGAACGCTCCACAGTGCAGCAAGTGGTCACGTGAAGCTCCCCCGCCACATTTTCCCCTCTGCGGCACTTATCTCACGTCCCCCTTTCCAGAGCCAGTATCTCCGCCGCCGCCACGCCCTCGCCGCTTTGGACTGCGTTAAAGCGCGACATAGCAAACTGTGGAATTTCCTGTCCCCTTCCGGAGCGCGAGCCGACGGATCCAAGAAACCACTAAGTGCTGCCATTTTGTGTGTGTGTGTGTGTGTGTGTGTTTGCGTGTGACCAAGGGAAGCTCTCCACTAAGTCACTTTGGCCCGCATCATCAGCTCTTAGCTCCTCACCATTGCAGTGGCCTGACATCCTGGCAATGTGATCAACATCTGAATGTCACTGCACATTCGATAAGCTCTTCGATATCTCGCCGCTTGGATTGCAACATATGGGACGACGAAATGGAGTCATTGTGCAAGAGAAACGTCAGCTAGCTATGTTCTCAACGCACTATGTATCACAAGAGACAAGCTGCTTGGAATTTCGCTGAACTCAAACATGAAGGTCTCTTCTTGTGTTTTTTCCTCAGCTGCCGGAATTCCATCGTTATTGTGCCAGGAAATGGCGTTGGCATCGTAGAAAAAGATTTACAGGCCGTTCTGCTCCCTTCAAATGCGTGAGCATCCTTCTCAAATGTAGTTTTTAAGTGTCTGTATTTGGCAACCTGGGGTGGTCAAATTTGTAGAAAATGAATGTATAATATCTGTATGGCAACTTTTGCCGCGCCAAAACTTTTTCTACAATGCCAAAAATTGTTTAAATGCCCCCACCCACCACAAAAAAAATTAAATATTTTGGAACAACGCATTGTTATCCAGAAGTAGCTTCGCGATCAGGATGTTATTTCAGATTACGTTTTGAGAAATGCCTTCACGTCTAAATAACCAGACCCCTTTGTTGTCATTCGGGGTTCACACATAACCGCTTTACCTCATCACGCAGCAACTCATCACATTTCCAGCAAGAATTTGGCTCCAGTGCAAATTGCTCAGCATTTGTTCAACTAGCATTTGCTACCCAGGCGGCTAATTAAGAAAATCATAGAGTTGCTGACTTCTTATTTTGAGTTGAGCACTTTTATTGTTTGATAATCCATGTAGAGAAATGTGGCAAACTCTCCAAAGTCAAACACAACTTGACTTTCAATTTTAAAAAAACAACTTTGGGAGATTCCGCTGTTACATCAAGACGGGAAACTTGTTTTGAATTTGATTTGGTTTTATTCACTCTACCGGATGGCATCCATTTATAGAAACTCTAATGTGCTTTTATGAGATCCTACGGGCCCCTATCAAACACGCATTATGTCCCATCAGTTAATCATTAGCTGCTCAAAGTCCAGTGTGGCTGTTAAACCCGAGCTTCTCCCCAAAATTTCTACCAGTTCATGAGATATGATTATGTAACGTTACTTCAATCAACGACATTTTGAACTTTTACAAATTGCTGCATGTTGGGATGAATTGATTCGAGTAGATTTTTTTTTTTTTTTTTTTTTTTTTTTTTATCCCCAGCATGTTTCTGCACCGCCACCTGCTGGACAAACACCATGATTTGGTAATTCTGGCTGCATTTGTGATCAAGACTTAGCATTGATTTCAACTTGAACAGCCTCCAAGTTCTCAGTTATATCATGCAATGTTCATACTTCAACGGCAAAACCTCATAAGGTCCAATTGAGTCCACTTATGCCCCCCCCCACCCCCCGCTGCGTATGAGTGAATATGATGCAAAATGAATGTGTTGTATATATTGTGAGTGAGAGAGATACTGTACTCTAGGGTGCTCTTCCAACATGTAAGGTGTTTTTATTGTACTCCCCCACCCCCCAGAGATTTATCTAGATTCTCTAAGTAATCTACTGTCATCTGAGTCAAAGACTGAATAAACCTTAAACTAACCATGAGCCCCCTTCCTTGTGTAGCTCGGTCACTTTTTGGTACACTTGCACAATGGGATAAACATTTTAAAAGAAAGTCACTATTTATCAATATCTTTATTATTGTGCTTTTCGCAGTGTTGATCATTAAGAATATTCAACATAATGACACCGTATTAAATTGGTGCGAGGGTCAAACCTCATGTCTAACCTGGATGGAGCTGTTGCCTAGCAACCATACAGCCCACCAAACTGAGCTCATCCTTTTATATTTGGGTCGAGAAGCCATCGATATACTGGATGACTGATTTTTTATCCTAAAAGTGCGTGTGGCAGTTTTGACGATTGTTCTGCCCTGATGCAATGATTTTCGTCGATCATGTGACAGATTGATATTGTTGATCTACGTTTCCAGTTCTGTCTAATGTGCTCCACCTGAATTTTACATTTACCTCTGCACAAATGAAGTCGTATGAAAAGAATGTTTCCTCTTCAATTTCACTAAGTACTGAAACCAGAAAAAAGGTCTTAACAAGCGTCAGCCAGAAAAAAAAAAGGTTACAATGACATTGCACACGTTAGACTTGTTTTTCTTGATGTTTTTCCCTCATTAAGAAGCTTCTTGCTGAGCTGAAAAGTAGCAGAGGTTCAGAAACATTGACCTAGTTGGAACATTTGGCCCCTTGGTTTCACATCTTTGGTTTGACCGGCAACTTGAGTTTACAAGAGTCACTTTGGATTCATTTACCAGAAGTCAAGATTCACAGTCTTCTATTAACGTAAGAACAATTTTGAGTCTTTAGCAAAAGTAAAGTATGTGTTTTCATTAACATCAAGACTAATTAGTCAATGAACTTAATCTAGGTCTTTTTTTTTCTTTTTTTTTTAACATCGATGATGATGTGGTTTACTGAGTCTAATATACATGTTTTTGCAAATGTCAAGGATCATTTATAGTTCGAAGCATCGGCATCTGTGTTTTTTTCTGAAACATCAATGATGATTTAAGTAATCAAGAAGTCAAGTTTATTCAGTATGGAAGCATGGAACTACCATTGTGGAGTAAACAAATAGTTTTGACTGGGCTCTTCGAAGGTCAGCAAAGTCGTTCAAACGTAGGCTAAATCCTAAAAGAGAATGTTTTGTTTTGGGTTTTTTTCCCCATAATGCCACTGGATATTGACTTGCTATGCGCAATTGTGTGCCCACAACCATTTCGCAGGTGGACAGGCCGAATCTCACCAACAATGAAAACTTAATAAACGTTTATAGAAATCCTGCTAAGATTGAACATTGTTTTCTGAATTCTTAAATTATCGTCAAAATCAAAGGTAATGAATAATTTTTTTTGGGGCATAATATCTGGGGGTTTTTTGGGCAGTTCCACCCTTTGGAATTGGGGTTGGGGGTGCTGTTTTTATGTTTTACTGTATGTTTGAACGACTTCCGTCCATTCGAAAGACATAGTCCAGTTAAAACTGTTCCCGCCACATTGTCACTTCCACTCTTCCGTATAATATTCCTTATTCACAGAAAAGTCTCAAAGGGCTTCACGAACGAACCCACAGCTGACAAATATTACTGAGGAAGAGGGGGGGGGGGGGGGGGGGGACACAATACAATCACATACCATTGAGGAACCATCTAGTGGTCAGTAATAGAATTACACCAGAATAGACGAGAATTATAATGACAGTTTGTAACTGTACAAAAACCGCCAAATAGCGGCACCACAAAACCTGAACCCATGATGGCGGTGGCTTTACTTTACATGTGTTTTCTTAAACATCTAAAATTATTTACAGTCCTTTCAGCTGTTGTGAAAACGCTACATAAATAAAGATGGAATCCTGCTCGACCTGCTTTCAAAAACATTTACAGTCCTGAATGAAAGTTGCGCGTTTTCAAAAACAAAGACTGAAAATTCTTGTGACGAGTTAATTTTAGTCTTGGATGCCAGATATTCTTTTGCACCACTCCCCGTTAAGAGAAGAAACCACAACCTTCCACCCCCTTGCGAATCTTCTTTTGTTGATTTTCCCTGTTGCTAAGGACACACAAAAAAATGCAGTTTTAACAGATCGGCTTTTTGTGTGTGTGGTTTGTGGCTCTTGGAGATGATGAGATGTCATCATTTGCTTCCAGATGTTAAAGTAGAGGCAGATGAGGCTGGTCGGACCGTGCCTCGCGTAGTCCTCCCACTCCCGTTACCACACAGCCTTGAACCCCACAACTTGCCATCAACTGTCACTTCAAAGGTTATTACTGTCAGATTAAACTCAATGGACAATTTATAAGGTACACCTGTGCGGTGTATCTTGATATTCAGTATAGCTGTGGCTATAGTTAAATAATTCAGAGTAGGTAAGAGTACACCAATCTATCCAAACAACTTGTTTATTTACTGTACATTTGACCCTCACTATGCGCAGGGGAAAATTCACATATAATTCATGCCCTTTGAAATGCAGTGAGAAAAACATAAAAACGATTAAACCCGACAAATTCTCTCAAAATGCTAATAAACATTCAATACCCCATGTATTGGAGGGAGTGGATATTTGGCGGGGGGTGAGCCCTCCCCCCCCCCCCCCCATTTTAGCATTCCAAAATTGAATCGAAAAAACATACACACGACACCACAATGACAATATTTTTTTAAGTATTTTTAGTCATTTTTGCAAAGAAATCACATGTCCAATTACGTGTTCACTGTGTGAGCTGTACAATTTTACGGGGGGAAATGGATAGTATGCTAACCAAATAGGGAAACCGTAACATACTCTGAATAATTTCTGGATACAATGTGGATATTCAAGTGTAGCTATGATTATTTGTTTTACTGTAATGTTTGTGCTCCAGTCAGCAAACACTATTTATGCGAGAGGGCCCTCTGGTGGATTTTAATGAGAAGTGCAGTCTTCAGTGTGCCTTGACTTCACTGACTTCATCAACAACAATTCACTTATCAAGCAACCTCAAACACAGTCCAGGCACCAAATTAGATATCGGCTCATACCGTTTTCACATGTGCCTGAAGGCTAATTAGATCACAGAAAGTCTTTCCTGTCGTTGCGCAGTATCCACCGTCATAGATGAAGGGCCCCTACTGTAACCTGACATAATTGAAAACAGGCCCTATTTTGTATTTACTGCATATCTGAATGTATGCCGATACCTGAAATTTGGTTGTGGATTTCTCACAATTTCGGCCATCTTCATCTGCTTTGTTTTCGGACAGCAGCAGGTGCTCTGACAATAATCACGCAGATGAAGATGATTTTATTGGTGTGTCTGGCCACGGTGATGTCAAGTGTCCCGAGTGTTGCCGAGTAAAAATAATTTGATTGCATTCTATTTTTATTAGCGTAATTCAGTCTGCCCAGGCGCAAAGAAAGGTTCTGCTCGCCCTCCACCTCTGTGAGGTAGGACGGTGTCGCGTTTCCCTACATATCAACGATGATTTAGCCTTCAATGAAACTCATTTACGGCATATGTATTTTCATAAACATCAAAGACATTTAGTCTCCCATGAATGTTTTGTTCTTTCATAAATATCAAAGTTCATCATCTTCCACTAAACTAGCTTCGTATAAGTTTCCGTAAACATGAACCAGTAGGAGTTATTTTAAAACCAGGACGTTTTCATATGATGGTGGAGTGGTCCACTCGCCCGATTTGTGTGCAGGCAGCGTGGTGGGATCTGTTCCTACTCAGTGACGGTGTGCATGGTTGTTTGTCTCTACTTTTGCCCTGCGACTGACTGGCAACCAGTTCAGGGTGTAGTGCGCCTGTCGCCCGAAATCAACTGATCGGCTCCAACATCGCACACAAGTCAGCCGAGTGTACCACTACACCATCAGCGACCCTTATAAAAGTGAATTATATTTGATTCTAATTGTATTATTCCGATTTAATCGGCATTAATGTTTCCAGGGGCAAAGATACTGTTCTGTATCTACCTGATTGATTCCGACAGGTGACCAATTATATTATATTATATTCACATGGTATTGAAATCCGTATGGACTGTAAATGTCATATCGAGGATGTACAGAAAAACTGGCAATGAGACTATACACTCATGAGGTCGTATCAGTAAATTCTATGCATAAAAAAAAAAAAATCTGAAAAAAATGCATCTTAATTTAAATAGTGATGTAGCTGTTTCAAATCAGTCAACGTGATCCGTTAAGAGGGAAATATAAGGGAAGATGAATCATCATGTCAAAAGTCCAAGTGACATCTTGTCCGGCCTGCCTCCTCCTCTCTCCGAAAAGGGGGTGGGGGGGGGGTGCATACACAGCAGGTGGTGCGACAGAGGATCACGGACATGGGATTTGTTAATCTCCACTTGTCTGACTACTTGCGCACAGGATAAGGAGAACCAAATTTTGGGGACAAGTAAGTGCAATTTTGGATCCATCATTCATATTTTTGGGGGTGTGGGGGGTTGTTGTCTTGGAGGAACTTTTAAAGACCCTTTGCATGGAAATTAGATCTGCAGTCATTTGAATGAAATGCAAAAAAAAAAATTATTCCGGCAACATTCGTTAGTTTTCAGCTCACTTTCCCGTCTAAATTTGTTTTCGCTGTTTGTTATTCTTTGTTGATAAGAGCGGCTATAGGAGAGCAGGTCTTATAATATGCTGATCATAACGTACTCATGTTAACTTTTGATGATGATTTTTTAAAATGTATTTAACATAAGAAAACTTTTAACAATTTGGCATAATTTTGAGGGTCTTTGCTGTCGGCCATTACATAATGAATTGTGCTTTTTATAACGTGTTGATCAGTGTTATGTGATATCTGTGTCCATGTATTGTAGTTTTTTGTCAGACACCACTGGATGAATGGGAGCTAGCGTAAGTGACTTAAAAAAAAAAAAATTCTCGTGCTTCTGTGTGACATTTGATTTGCATTTAAAACGCAATTAAAATCTTGCTGATCTTTTAAAATTTGGCACAGTATGGCGCAAAGCATCGTGTTAGCAATAAAAAGTGACCTTAGCAGTGATGATGCTCTTAAGTGTCTTCTTAATAAGGATACATTGTTACATTATTACACTACAGTTCGGCCTAAAGCATCATTTTAGCTCTTAAAAGTGATTTTTTTTTTTTTGTGCATGCGTAACAAGTCAATACTTTTAATAAGGGTGCATTAATTTTGCAGAGAGTTTCCTCTGGTACAGGGAAAAGCCTGCGGGCTGGGAATGTTTGTTAAAGGTCATGTTGGCCAAACAGATATCAGGATTTCTTTCTCTGGGGAGCATCTGAAAACCAAAGGCAGTTGACGTTAAAGTGCACAATTAAAAAAAAAAAAAAACAATGATGTAATTCTATATATCGGGCTATACAGTGTATTTAATAATCGTGGGATAGCCAGCCAAAACGTTTTTAGCTTGCCATATGGATGACGCGACAGCCAGAATTGGCCAAAAGGATTTTGAAGGCGGAATTTCAATGCATCTGCTTAAGCCCGCAGTTTGAATTTTAATGATGGCACTTATTTGTCTGCCATGTCGTGAGGACACAACAACAAAAAACAACAACAGATTTTTCAGAACAACTACTGAAATAAATCTTTGAGTCAAGACCTGAACTGAACTTAATCCAGTTTTTGTTTTGTCCCCCCCTTCGATAACACATTCCCATTTGTATTGAGTTTGTTCTAATCTTCCCTTCCCTCCTTAGCTCAGGTGTCACATCGCCGTCGTCTCCAGCCGAGGTCCGCTTAATAAAGATGGAGCGGCGGGGGGAAAGCGGCGACCAGTGACGCATCGAACCAATCGCAGGTGCGTTAAGGCCAAAAGGTGGCTTGGAAATGCTCCCGTGTTGCGTCTGGAGTCCGCCCCCCGCGACTGCCAATGGAGCTTGAAGCGTTGGCTTTCCTCCGTCGGCATCCATGATCGGGCCCGCCCGGCCGAAGGGCTCCAACCATGTAGCGGTGTCGGTGTCAGGTGATCCGAAACTTTCCCCCATCAGCCACTATGGAAGTGCAGACCACCTCCCTGGTGTTGATTTACGTGAACGTCACAGTCAACGCTTCCGATGAGTTCAACTCCACTGAGAGCTCGGAGAAGTCTTACACGATCGGTCTCTTCCTGTCCTGCCTGTACACCATCCTCCTCTTCCCCATTGGATTCATCGGCAACATCCTGATCCTGGTGGTCAACCTGAACCACCGCGAGAAGATGACCATCCCCGACCTTTACTTTGTCAACCTGGCGGTGGCCGACCTGATCCTGGTGGCCGACTCGCTCATCGAAGTGTTCAACCTTAACGAGAAGTACTACGACTACGCCGTGCTGTGCACCTTCATGTCGCTCTTCCTCCAGGTCAATATGTACAGCAGCATCTTCTTCCTCACGTGGATGAGCTTCGACCGCTACGTGGCGCTGGCCGGCTCGGTGGGCTGCAGCCCGCTGAGGACCATGCGCCACGCCAAGCTCAGCTGCGGCCTCATCTGGATGGCGTCCATCCTGGCCACGCTTCTGCCATTCACCATCGTGCAGACGCAGCACCGCGGCGAGCTCCACTTCTGCTTCGCCAACGTCTTCGAGATCCAGTGGCTGGAGGTGACCATCGGCTTCCTGGTGCCCTTCTCCGTCATCGGCCTGTGCTACTCCCTGATCGTCCGGGTCCTCATGCGGGCGCAGAAGCACCGCGGCTTGTGGCCGAGACGGCAGAAAGCGCTGCGCATGATCGTGGTCGTGGTGCTGGTCTTCTTCATCTGCTGGCTGCCCGAGAACGTCTTCATCAGCATCCAGCTGCTGCAGGGCACCGCCGACCCGACCCGCAGGACCACCGCCACGCTGTGGCACGACTACCCGCTGGCGGGGCACATCGTCAACCTGGCCGCCTTTTCCAACAGCTGTCTCAACCCCATCATCTACAGTTTTCTAGGGGAGACCTTCCGGGACAAGTTGAAGCTCTTTGTCAAACAGAAGGCCAGCTGGTCGGCCGTCGGTCTCCATTTGGGACCTTCGGTCAGGACTGATGTGTCGCAGGTATAAGGACAGAGTATGAAACAATACCTCCCACTTATGCCTCATGCATTCAGTAACCTGCTCACTGTATGAACACCCCCCCCCCCAAAAAAAAAACCAGGCTCTGTACATAATATTAATCCCATCCCCTCCATCACGTGGATTACGTTCAACATCACCCATGCGATCAATCCATTAAGAATCATTCCCTAAAATGTACAACAGCCGTTGCTTTCTGTAGGCATAAAAAGCAGGATTAAATAAGATTTGACATTCAGTAAAAATCCTTCCCATTTTCATTCTTCTTCTTTCAAATTTAATATGACACAAAATAGTGCCACCATCTAGTGACCAACAATGGAATTACATGCAGAATAGAGTCACAAGGTGCCCCCGAATGAATAAAATAAATAACTCTGCAAAATAGCAAAATCATGAACCCATGATGGAGGGAGGGATTACCGTGTTTTTACACCCGTCTAATCATTTTAGCATTCAGAGTAGCCACAAAGACTCATGCTTTTCTTTCGATGATTTCCTTGGCTGCAGCATGGTGGTCAGATGCTTAACACGTCAGTTCTGAGGTTCAAATCTGGGCCTCTGGCCTTCATGAATGGAGTTGGCATGTTCTTGCATTGGTTTTCTCCTGCTACAACAGCTTCCTCCCACATTCCAAAAACAAAATGAAAGACTATATAGTCCATCGGTTGTGAATGTGAGTGCGAATGCTTGTTTGTCTATAAATGCCCTGCGATTAGCTGGCGACCAGTCCTGGTTTTGCCTCGCTCGCTGCCTCTTGCATCTTGCATGATCTGCTTGGCTTAAGCACCTTTAACGCAGAATTGGGCGATATTGACCCGGCAATTTCCTGCCTGGTGAGGCAGGAATAGCAAATCTGTAATAATGAGACCTCCGCCAAGGCCAAAACTCAGTCGTGTTTTTTTTGTTTTACCCCATGGGTGTTGCCAGAATCTTTTTTTTTCCTTACATGATTTGCAATGCACTGTGGGCAAAACAAAATGGGGATTGGACCACATTGACCAAGCAATCGACCTTCTACAGAGGGAATAATCGGAGCCGTAAAAGTGGCAGGTCGACGCCCAAGTAACAGCCTCAAATCAGATGCCACCAAAGACCAAATCCCAAAAATGTCGGGCCCACTGTTCCGGCTCCGATGTGGCAATTTCGCCAGAGTTTTCGCTTGACGCCGGATGAACTCCATGACGCAACTGTCACGTTTATCCAAGTTGGGGGTTTTTCCATCGTCTCCTGTGGTTTTTCTTGTGGTGTTTTCCCATCATGTCACAAAGAAATATCTTGGATCCACACCAAATCTTTCCCTTGCCTAAACGCTGCAAAAAAAACAAAACGAAAAAAAAAAATTCAAAGAAATCCGCTGAGCATATTTCCCCCCCCTGCATAATCGCGCTTTTGATGTTGACCCACATGTTAGCCTAGCTGCCTCTCACTGTTCAAAGGGGAATCTGTCACATAAACAACACCATTTTATATGTTTTCATGTATCTTTCAAGTGCTTATAATCCATATGCATTTCGTCTCCAGTACAGCAATGCGGGGGTAGAGAAAGTATTTTCCGCGTGCTGCTAACAACCGGCTTCGATCTGATAACCGGGCAACCAAGCATTGACATTATCAAGACTCCTGTCGATAAATAAATAAATAAATGAATAAATAAATTCCCCAAATTGGCCAATTAATTTCTCACAGTATATCATTGATTATTTTATTTGATTGTGGATTGGGAAATTACGGTAATATGGTTTCAAATATTTTTATGAAATGATGGTCAATTAATTAAACAAGTAATACAATTTAAAAAGGAGAATGAATTATTCTTATTATCACAATCAACTTTTCATTTATTTATTTACTTACCTCATCAGAAATGACTTTGGCCTATCTGTCCACGTTAAAAACCAAATGTGGCACTTGGCGCTCAAGTTTGCCCACGTCTGATATCATGACAAGACCATTTGTACACAAACTGAAATAACGCATTGATGAATTCATGTGTAGAATGTTAGAAGGGCAATAATGAATTGCAATCGAGGGAATTGTTGTATGAAATGACAATATGTCACGCGACAGAACGGCTTCAGAGCTTTGCTAACAACATCCTCGACTCTTTTGTTTTATTTTGGGGAAATAAAGAAATCTTTTGCACTTTTTTGGGGGGTGCATTTTGGAGCATTATGATGTCTTAAAAAAAATAATCCTACATTGGACATTGCGACTGTTTATCGTGTACGGTAATAAATGAAAGCATTACCGGCCTGCGGACATGTTTGCATGACAAGCATCGTGAGATGAATGTTTGTGTACAAACCACAAAACTGTTGTTGCAGCTGTAAGCGGCCCAGAAGCCCTGGGAAAGGAACATAGAGGGATACTGTTTTGATTCAGTTTCATTAAGAGGGTTGGAGAAAAAAAAAAAAAAGATGACAGCGATTCTCCTGCTGTACGTTATGTCTGTGTCTTTATCTTTACAGAACAGGAAAGATATTTGACTCTCATTCCTGCGTAATGACTACTTAATTACACTTTGAAGTGGATTGAACCGCCTGGAGAAATGACAAAAAAGAGTGACCAAAAGAATGCTGTCATACTCGTTGGTAGCGCCGGCACATACTAATGATGCTTTGACAAGCTACGTGTTCAGCTGAGATTGTTGGGGAAGGTTAAAAAGTTCAGTCGGTGGTCAGTGATGTCACAGCGTCACATATAGCAATTTCAAATGACAAATGACCAAAATATATGTCAAGTCTGTATGACCGAGGACAGCAACTCAGCAGGCCCCGGGAGCACACCAGACCAGGTATCTTCGGCTCCATCCTGCCAATCCCGTACCGTTATTCGTGAATAATTTATTTATTAAAGCAATTTAAAAACAGATTGTCATTTATGATGCCCTCCGAGCAGTAGAATGCCGGGTAAAAGAAAGCAAAACAATGAGATGACAAACTGTACGGTGAGACGTAGTTACACAATACATTGCATCATAGCTCATGGGGGAAAAAAAAAAAATCAAAACAGCCATTAAAAAAAAAAAAAAAAAAAAAAAAAAATTGAGAAGAATATTCACCAAATGTGGGGTGGGGTTTTGGAATGAGCGGGTTAATGAAACTGCTGGAAGGGTGAGTGCGGGTGGTGGTATGCATGGTGAGCAGAAAGCAACGATAGAGTCGGGACTTAACATTTGATGGCTCTATTTTTGTCGACAGGTGTTCGACGTCAAAACTGGCACGTCTTTTCGTGCCGGGGGCAAGTCTAGTTTAGCATGTTTGAGAATTTGGTAGACCACGCTGTGTCTCGGTGGGCGTTCTGGTGGTGTTTTCGTGTGCGCGCTTGACAATTTGGTGACCAAAGTAGAGTCAAATTTAGACTAGTGCAACAGGATTTGTGTTAAATTTGATTGAGGCGCAGGCAGAATGAGCTCAGTTGGACGAGTGTGGTAGCTGTCAAAGTTGGTGAGTCACAAACCTTGTTCTGTCCTGATGAATTTCCCCCAAAAATATTATAAGATGAACAGCCACAGGAGGAGAATTTCATATATTCCGGGTGGTATAGTGTGGCTACTTTATGTAAATGCTTGGCCTTCTTCCTCAATAATTTGCATACAGAAAAAAAAGGGAAATTGCAAAAGGAAGACTTTTTTCCGTTTATGTCACAACAGTATTGAGACAATTTGTAATCTACGTGTTGGTGGTTGGGCAAGCCAAAGCAATTACAAGAGCCTTGTGGCGGTCTGATGCATAATTACAAGGCAGGGCACTTAGTGCACCTCAGCAGCTGAATAATGGATTCAAAGTATAATTGCATTTGTAAATTTAAATCCCTTATGAGGGGAAGGAAAAAAAATAGACTCATGGAAGGGGAAAATAAGCCAAGTAAACCGTCTAATGATGTCAAAGGTAATTTTATTATGTTTCAGGGGAGAAAATAAAAATCTACAAGTTGGTGTCCAGATGATGGCTGAATCCAACATCCTTTCATCTTTTAAGAAGAAAGTTTTAATTTTCCGGCAATAAGGTTCTACGACAAAAATATACTTTAGTGTGTGACTGGGATCCATATTTTACAGAATTGAAATGGAAATATGAATGAATCAAAAGACTTTTACTTATACAGCACATTTTATACAAAAGGCAACTCAATGTGGTTCACAGAAGCAAAGGATAAAATTGTAATTTTCTGGGTGTAAAGTTGTCCGTTTTCGAAATGAAATAGTGAAAAAGTTCTAGGTACTAATTTGTAATATAGATTTTGACCATTAAAAGAAATCAAGTGCAAGAATAAATCGAAAAAATTACCCACGAAAATACAAGAACATAATATAATATTCAGAGAATAAAGTTGGAATATTCCAAGAAAAAGCCATAATATTAATTTAATGACGTCGTAGATTTACCACGCACAACCCAAATCTTATGGGAAATTTTTAATTTGATGGGTATAGTGAAAATACAGTACTACTAGAATAGAAAACGTGGAAATCTTATGGTATAATAGTTTTTGTAACAATTATTATTAATCGTTATGATCATTTTACAAGAAAAAAAAGACCAAAATCATTCAGGAAATCCAGATTTTTTTTTTCCGTTTGAAGCGGATGCATATCTTCTGGCCACCACTGGGTGGCGCGCTTCGTCTGGGATGTGCATGCGCCGTCGTGGAGCAACAGATCAACGCGCATGCGCACTTGATTGTTTTGACTGAAAATGCCGTCCGTTTCGAAAACGGCGACCAATGCGTCTCCTCAAACCGAGAAACCGACCCACTATACGTGAGTATTGCACCGTTCTCTCCCACGCGTGCAGGGCGACTCGTGGGACTTGTGCGTCGCCCTCGCTTTGTTCCAACTCTTTGGTTGCGTACGTTTACGAATGTTGCTTTCGCAGGGCTTTGTGACTGCCCCAAAAAAACTGCGACTCCACGGGCTTGAAGACGACAGCTCTTTAATGTTCCCTGACATGGCGGACCTTGGCGGGATAGTTAAAACAAAACAAAACAAAAAAGAATACGCTCCGTTATGGTGCTCTTTCCCGCCATCAACTTTGCAGGCTAATCGTGGTTTTGCCAGGAGCTGCTAGCTCGCTACCCTCCGTCTGCTTGTCAACACCTCGGCCTTTATTTTTGTGTTTCCCCTCGCTCGCTCTCTTCTCGCTACGTGCTTTAATTGACGTACGCTCAAGGGATTCCCACTAGGGTTGCGTCGCAATGCGTTCACATTCTGCTACGTGAATAGGAGGCCTGACGCTAGTAACCCAAAACACATCCAGGGCTCGTCTTTCCCAACATGAATTGAGTCAAGTGACGCGGTTTACAAAAGAAAAATGTCACGGCAAAACACCAAACAACAAGAGTCCAAAAGTGAAAAAAGTATGACTATGAGTGAAAAAGCTTTGTCCGTTAAACTCTTTGATGATGTCCTTAATACTTTAAAGCTTTGACGGCCTTAAACTTTTTAAGCTGTTAAAAAAGGCGCCCCCACCTGCTGTTACGGGCTCTTTGATTGATCTCTGGAGACAGATTGTAGTGTTCCACAACATCCATCCATCTATCCGTCCGTTTTCCAATCCGCTTTATCCTCACAAGGGGGGTGCTGGAGCCTATCCCAGCCGTCTTCGGGCAGTTGGTGTGGGACACCCTGAACCGGTTGCCAGCTAACCCCGGTAGCCAATCCCGGTTGCCAGCCATTCTTTATTTGTTGTGCTCCACAACAAATAAAAAATAAAATCTACAATAAAAATGTACTCTAGCTTCTATAGAAAAAAAAGTTTGGTGTCTATCTTTTTCTCTTCTTTAGTAATTAACATTCGAACATGGTTTCATCCAATAAATGGGTTGGATTTCATTTGCAAATTTAAATGTCCACTGCAGTGAATGATTGAATGAAAAGAAAGACAAATCCTTCCATTTTACTTGGGCCACTTTGCACACTTTGGCTCTCATTAGTTCACAGAGACTCTTCAGGTTCTCTGTGCAGGGCGCCCGCTTGTTATTTCGGCAGCACAATGAAGCCTCAACCATGCGTTGCCCCCTGGTGGAGGACTATTTGAAAAAGTGCTTGAGTAGATATGCAGCAGAGCCGGCATTTTAAATGTAACCGACAAATCAGTTAATTTAATTGTGGCAGCCATAATTGCAATCAAGATTGAAATTTCATTCACTGTGCAGTCCTACCCCCTGGTATGCACAAGACAAGCCCCTTTGCGTTTCATTTTTAAAAGTCACTTCAAACCCTTTTTCCCCCCCTTTGGTGTCCAACAGAGCACAAAACTTGAGCCCTTATTTTTATTGTATTTATTTTTAACTTTGGTACAAATTTTTAAATTGTTGCATTCAATCTTTTTTATGTCTCGTACCTTCTTTCAACTGCGGTGTTGTTTAATGTTGTGTGCAGTTGATCTCTCTGGCTGCACTACAAGGCTACAGATATCAATTGCAAAACAAAATGTGTTTTGATTCGAGGTCACTTTTTTGCAATATTATTAGACTCTACCAAGTTCTGATTGGCAAGACAGATATTTTGATATTCTGCAATTTTTTTTTTTTTTTTTTTTTGGCGTTCCTCCGAGTCATTTAATTAATGTCGTGTAACCGGACTTGTCATTTCTACCCTTTCAGCTACTTGAAGGAGTTCAGGACCGAGCAGTGTCCGTTGTTCCTGCAGCACAAGTGCACGCAGCACAGACCATTTACGTGCTTCCACTGGCACTTTCTCACCCAGAGGCGGAGGAGACCCATCCGCCGGAGGGACGGCACCTTCAACTATAGCCCCGACGTCTACTGCACCAAATACGACGAGACCACCGGCATCTGCCCCGATGGAGATGAGTAGGTCGACATTCGCGATGCTCGTTTGCATGCTGGCGGTGATACTTGAAACATGCCGTGACCTCTGCCAAGAAGCTTTGTTGATGTGGAACCGCCTGTTGACTAGTTTGAGGATTTGCTTTAATGGGGAGTGGTGCCAGCAAGGTCTTCCCTGCTGGCCTTAACATGATCAGAAACACTTACCTACATGGCGACATTTCAATACCTTTAGTAAGGGATTTGTTGGGGTTATCACTGGCACATTAGTCATTTTCTCCCATTATTTTACCATTGTATCATTTCTGCCCAGGCCTTTGTCAACATTCATTTATTCATGCAGCCATCCTTTCATTCGTCCACCACTGGAACACATTCAGTGCAGGAGTCCACCCTCATGCATACAGTCTACTCGTTTGGAAAAAAAAAGTGTTGAGGGAAAAAAAACAAGCTCCTTCCATCAGTACGCCGCCCCTGACAATGGCAGCTATTTTTATATGACCTTACCTGTTGCCATAGCAACTGTTGCTGCTTGGGCTCGGTGGTGAAGTTGGTGCATGCAAGAAGTTAATAATGCAATATATTTCTAATTGGGCTCACAATGGAGTAATCGGGCTCACAATGGACGACTGTACTACTTTCTTTTGTTTTTTTTTAATCGTTTTATGTGGGTGGAAAAAAAACATTTTGTCCCCATCTCATGTCAGCTGCCCTTATCTACACCGGACCACCGGTGACACGGAGCGCAAGTACCACCTCCGCTATTACAAGACGGGCACATGCATCCACGAGACAGATGCCCGGGGGCACTGCATGAAGAACGGCCTCCACTGCGCGTTTGCCCATGGCCCTCATGATCTCAGACCCCCCGTCTATGATATCAGGTGACCACAGAAAAACAAAATACTGTTTTGCTTGCTGATGGTCGCGGAGTGAGGGGGGAGTTAAATTTTTATAGATTATTTTATAAATTATTTTTTTTAGACTTTTTAATTGCTCCTTTCAACTCTTTGGACTTCAAATTTCAGACTTTATTATCGGTTTAACTTGGTAATTAAATTGTACTTTTTACAGGCATGTTTTTGGTACTTTTTAATTATTCTTTTCAACTTTAAAATAATTGTTTTTACTTTTCAAATGTATTTTTGTTTTGACTTTTACATCAAAATTAAATTAATTTTCCAAAAGGAGAGGGTCAAAATATAAAAATAAAAAAAAGCTTTACAGCGTGATTCATTTCACTGCTTGGTTCATTACTTTAAAGGAGATAAGGTGCTCATAGTGCCCTGAATCAGGCGTAACCATGTAAAAATAATACTGAAATATGTGGCCAGAGAGATCCAAGCACAAGAGGTGCTCCAGAATGGACAGCTGGGCCCCGGCGAAAGTATTCCCGACCTGCAGCCCGGCGTGTTAGCCAGCCAAGCCATGATCGAGAAAACCCTGATGGAGGACCCCAGGTGGCAAGGTGAAAGACGCCAGTTCATGTCAAGAACTGTTAACTTTGACATGCTCTCTAGTGAGAACGTAAGATGACACTTGCCGTGCCCTTTTATTTTTTCCCACAGACACCAACTTTGTTTTAGCAAACTACAAAACGGAGCAGTGCACAAAGCCACCCAGATTGTGCAGACAGGGCTACGCTTGTCCGCACTACCACAACAGTCGAGACCGCAGGCGCAATCCACGCAAATACAAGTACAGGTGAGCAATTACCGTAATAAAGAATTACCAAATACAAAAACTAAACATACTACTTCTTGGGGGTGGGGGGGGGGTCCTTTAACCTGAGTTATTAAACTCTACATCGGTCAAGTCGGTATTGTACCTATGATTGCTATCATAGACTGCTGCTCACCAGCATCGAGACAACAACTCCCAAAATCATGTTTAATTTCTGATTTAAGTTGCTCAAAAATGTCTTTCATGAAATAGAATAGTACAGACATGTCATCGCCATTGCCAGTGGCCAAAGAGAAGTCTTTAATGGTTACATCAGCTTCTCAAAATCTATTTCAAAAGGTCCAAGAGCAGTGAGTGATGCAATAAAAAAGGGCAGTGAAATGGGCAGAAATGAATCTGAGCACAAACTTATTTGCGGCCGTGGCTGATAGGCTTCCTTCTGTAACAAAGCATTACAGCTATCGATTTTTTACAAAATTAGGCTCACTCAAATGTATCCAGGTGAAGCTATTTTCACTCATGATTGGCTCCAAAATATGCAGACTTTTAATCTTGCGGTGACTGAAGTAAAGTTGAATGACGGCTGAAGTGTCCAATACGAGGGAAAAGTTAATAAGAGGCTATTTTTAACACTTTACTTAGCTCATAGTTAATGATTTGTAATAAGTAAATAAAAATGACAGGCCAGGTGGGGAGTGACTAATCCTGTTGATTCGTAAAAAAAAATGTAAAAAACTGTTTAAAAAATCCATTTTGAGCCACCAATGAATCTAAAAAGCACCTTTTTGGAACGTGGGAGGAAGCCAGAGAGATGGAGTTCCTCGCCCGAGGTGCTAACAACCTTGCTGCCCCATTTTTGTTTGTTTTTTGTTTTCTTAAATTATATTCCAAATCGGAGTTCATCTAAATGATATTCATAATCTGAAATAAATTTATTGAACCATGATATTATTGTAATATTTCGAGGGGCGCCTACTGTGGATGAGAAAGGCAAACGTTTTCCATTGTAATATCACACAACAGGTCGACTCCGTGCCCCAGCGTGAAACACGGCGACGAGTGGGGCGAGCCCTCCAAGTGCGAAAGCGCCGACGCTTGCCAATATTGTCACTCACGCACGGAGCAGCAGTTTCACCCAGAGGTGGCTATCAAGTTTGTCCTTTATCAACACAACACGCAAGTATGACATTTGTATCTTAACTTTGCTTCTTCTCTCTCTTCCCGCCCCCGCGTCCATTCCAAGATCTACAAATCCACCAAGTGCAACGACATGCGGCAAACCGGCTACTGTCCCCGAGGGCCGTTTTGTGCCTTTGCACACGTCGAAAGTGAGTCATTCCAGACACTTTTAAAAACAAGTCGTAAAAGGAGACCAACTAGCATAAAAGTTAGAACAAACAGTTACTGGAATGGCACGAATTGGAGCGCAGACCCCAGTCAAGGTCACATTTTGGACAAAACAAAAACAAGCAAATGTTGCCCGCTCGATTTGTCTTAGTTTGTCTTTGTCCTTGTGAGTCAATTCCTCTGTCATAGAGGGGTGAGGCGTTTACGATAAGAGCCATCATGTCTCCCCCCACAGGAATCCCCTCCACCGAGGATACCATGAGCTCATTGCTAACGGCCATACATTCCAGCTCGCATTCCCAGCCAGGCCCTCAGCAGTATTCCGAGTGTCCGGTCGCAGAGTGGACGACGGCTGGCGGTTCCAGCACCAGCAACGGACAAGTGGCGAGTGTATGTCCTCCATATATAGCTTTAAGTCATTTTAAGAGTTTTATGAATCAATACATTCACACACCACCGCAACCAAGTACAACCGCAATGATAATCAGTGAAACAAATACCTCTCCGACAGTAAAGTGGGCACCATTATTTTCAAATCAAATGGAGGTAGAGCCATCGACTAAAAATGAAAAATGTCACCTCTGTCTGTCTATTTGATGGTATTGAGATTAAAAATGACTCACATCGATTGCCACAATGTTTATTATTGTGGTTGTAGTTTGCTGTGGCGTAGAACCGCATTGCGTTATACTGGGAGCTATTTTGACGGAATGCATTTTATTTCGAGCGTGGGCGAAACATTGTTAGATTACCGTATCTCCGCCAATAATGTCGGCGGCCAATAAATGCAGTAAACCAGAGTTCTTAGATAGGCACTCAAAAATAATGTTCACCTTTTCAGTCGTGCACATAAAACTTACCATGACTCGACCAAGAAATACCTCTCTTGTATTTGAATCAGTGATTCCCAACCAGTAGTCTTTCATTTGTTACCCAAGTTACCCAATTTTACCCAATTGGTGTGAAGACGATTTAACGACTCCCAAAATTATGGAACCCCCCCCCCCCAAAATGTATCTTTGTTCATCTCTCTATGCCGGCGACGTATAGTGACAGGCAGAGCAATTACATGCACTTGTGTGGCTGGGTGTGTACAGCAAGATTAAATGCATGGGAAATTAAAACGTGTTTTGTGTGTCCCTTCGCCCCCCTGCCCCCGTTTCAGACCCAAAACAGCGTCTTCTGCGCAGTGAACCCCCTGGCGTCCAGCTTCACCTCCAGCATAACGTCCAGTTTGGCTTCCAGCATCGGCTCGGACAGCTCCTCCCCGACCACCTTGTCCACCATGAACGCAAAAGCCACTCCCTTTTATCCCGGGAGCAACACGGTGGAGTCGGTCATAGGTACGAGGATGTCGCACATTTGCCTTTTTAGACTGAATGAGTTAAACTTCTCATATCCCCTCCCTCCACTTAGGATCTGCTCTGGACATCAACTTTAGTGACATTAACGTTGCGTCGCTTGATAAGGAGCTAGAAGAACAAGACAACAGTGTTGGACTGGAAGGTAAGGACGAGGAAATGTAGACATGACATGAGTGGGTAGAACAATCAAATTGGCCATACAATATAATAATGTGCACTCAAAATGCTAAGTAGAAGACTGAAGACAAGAAGCTTTACCCACAGAATGATATGAAACCCATGAATGTGTTTTTTGTGTGTACATTTGCAACCCCAATTTTTTTTTCGCCCCCCATGTCATGTCTTGGGCAAATCTAAAAATGAGTTAACCCACAAAGTGACCACTTAATCGCATCGGTGTACCGCCACAGGTCACAGAATGTTCAGCGGCTCGGCCCCGGTCAACATTCCCGGCTCGCTGGCGCGCTCGTCCTCCTTCAACTCGTCTTCGTCGCTGTCCACGTCGCCACTGAGCTCACTGTCGCAGTCGCACTCCCTGCTGTCCGGCGCGGTGTCGCATCACAACCACACCGCTAACATGTTGGCCAAGCAGGAACACGGCCTGCTGGGAACGCCCTCGTCTTCTTCCCAGAACTCTTTAGGTCAGTGCACATACCAGACATCCAACATAAGAGTGCAACAAAACGAGTTATTTGTCCGCGTCCAAACGAAATGATGTGGCGTGACCTTTTATGGGCAATTCGTGGACAAAAAAACCCCATCTAGCATGACTAAATTATTTTGTAAAAGGGCATGTACGTTTTGACATCTGTAATCAGAAACGGGACGAATACTTGTTTCCCAGCATTGGACATTCGAAAAGGAAAACATGAGGAAATTTGATGAAGCTTGATTATTATTGTAAAGAATGAAAATAAAAACAAGAAGAGATGGTAACGGAATTTCCCTCTGACTGATTTCATATTTACCAAATAGAGTTATCCTGTCACCCGAACACATGTTAGGAAATTATTTATTTGAACTGTTGGCCAGTGTTTTAATTTTCTGGCGTGGACTCCTTAACAGAAAAACGTTATACGATGAAATCAGCGAAGCCAGCAACCTCTTCCCATGGATATCAGCTGAAGGATTTCCATATTTTTAGCCCAGTAGAATTATAGCAGTCGTGATTTGAAATGCACACTTCAAAAGTGTTTGTTGACATTTTCGGTACAGGCTTGAACGGCGCTAGCAGCATTTGGGACTTTGTGAGCGGCAGCTTTTCCCCGAGTCCGTCCCCGGTCTTCAGCAGCCTGACGTCCGCGGCAAGCGGCGGCGACGTTTCACGTCTCTTTCGGGAACTGGATGAGGCCAAGAGGAAGATCAAACAATGGGAGGAGGCCTGGCATCAGGTCAAACAGGTACGCTTTCAAAAAAAGGGGCAAAGTCCTGCACGTGGTTGACAACCAAGCCGAACAAACAAACATGTCATGTGCTCGATGTCACGAAAGTGCTGTGCAGGATTTACGCCATTCTCAACAGTACACGGCAGAGAACAAATTTTAGTTCATTCAAAACAAACAGTGGACTAATAATGTTTAAGAATTGTCTGATTTCTCCCATTCCCTTGCGACTCATTTTAGGTGTCGGAGAACATTTTAGACTTTACATTTGGTAAATGTACTTGACATTGGCCATTCTCTGGGTCAGTGTTGGACGATCAAGAAACATTTTACAAACCGTCATGGCCTCACGGGGTTTTGTATAAAGGGCAAAGATGACGGGAATCCCGAGCCGACAGCTGGGTTGATAGATGAGAAGATGTCACTGATGCAGCTACGTCTGGTTCAAGAACTTGCAGCATTTTTCAAGTATTGGAATTTGTCAGCCTCCAAAAAAAAAAAGCTATCACTTCGCTCATAGGCATGCGAAGCCTGCCAGAAAGACGCCCACGAAGCCAAGGAACAAGCCAAGGCGGCGGAGTCGGAACGGCAGCTGGCTGAGCAGAAACGAGACGAGACGGAGCGCAAGCTGAAGGACCTTCGGGGCGACTTTGACGCTCTGTGCCGGGCACCCGGAACGCCGCTCCTGCGCAGCTACGGCGAGCTGGAACAGCTCTCCCTGTCCAAGCTGCACTCGCTCAAGAACCAGCTGCGCAACGACCTCGACCTTATAGACGGGGTAAGAAAAAAACAACAGTGCACCCCCCCCAAAAAATGCGTTTCTAACCCACTGATTTCGCATTTGTCTCTTCTCCCCTTCCCTAACAGGTCATATATCGGCTTCAGTCAAAGAAATGCGTAGTTTGCCAAAAGCACGACCGATGCGTTGTGCTGCAGCCATGCCAACATTACGCTCTATGCGAGAGCTGCGCGGCCAGCAAAGCCGAATGTCCCTACTGTCGAACAAAAATACTCAAGTGGTGATGTACGCTCACGCACGAGAGGTACTATGTCAAACGACTACGAATAGATATCAAATTTTGTATATTTCATACAACACTTAAAAGGTCGAACGAAATGATGCTAGACTCGTACAAATGTGTCGAACGGCGAATCTCGTACGGGGATTGGGATGTTTAGGTTTTGCTCATTTTACGTGGCCAACAGCTTCAGTTACCAAAAAAATAGTCAATTTGGCTACGACAACTAAACTCTACAAAAAACAGGTGCTTTCTCAATAAGTTCGGATATCATGGAAAACGTCATTCATTCAAAGTCAAACTCAATTGAAATATCTTAACGATTTAAATTTTTGCAATTTTGATGATGTGTCAGGAAATTAGAATATGATAAAAAAATGAACAAGCGAAATGATTTTTTGGGGGGATTGGCTTTCTGGAAACTGCAAGATTCCGATACATTGAAATGCAATTTCACTTCAAATGGCCTGTTTGAGTTTCTCAACAAATCTAAAGTGAGTTTTTTCTTCCCCCCCGACAGAATTGAATGTGTCCTGAATCTTCGCCATCATTTTCAAATGCACTTAAGTCAACATTCCCTAAATATTTCTTAAAGACACCGAGGAGGAGATCCCATGAAACGTATTTTGCATTCAAGACGATCATATTTTCTTGACTGTCACGATCAAAAAAAATAAAAATCCATCCCAGCGCATGGGAAGGCCAAATGACTGAGGTGATGTCACGCTTAAAATGAGCAACTTCAAATTCGACATCCACTTTTCCTTGCGTCTTCAATTGTCAAAAATTCCCTTGTGTTTTGGGAGAGCAATTGAAATTCAACACTATGCAGATTGAATCTTTGATGTAAACAAAACAACAACAAAACAAACAAAAAAAACACTATTTGTACTGCAAAGTTGTCAAGTGTTTTTCGGGTATTGGCGCTGAATGTTCCTTTTTACGTAAAAAAAACAAACAAAACAAAAACAAATAGTTGATATAAATGCAGCCAGCTAAGCAATTATTCTGACCAATTTCCCGAAGATTTCTTAATTGAAGCACTTTGTCGACGTGGGACTATTAAGAGGGTATCTAGACATTTTGTTGAAGCTGCTTTGTCGGGATTCCTTCTTTTTTTTTAACTAGTCATACTTTTTATAAGTATACCTATAAATATATATATATAAAGAGAGAGATAATGCGCTTTTTTGGTGTGTACTGTGAAACATAAATGGACCATTTCATGTTTCCTGTTGTTTAAATCATAGCATGATTCTGCATATTAATTAAGATTGAATAGGAAACTTCAAGTATTTCATTGTTTCTACTTTCATAGTTCGATTTATAAAATAAACGAGAGAGAAAAAAAACAATTGCAAACTTATGATGCATTTTAGGCCGAACCAGCAGCTGTAAAATGCGTCACACGCTATATACACATGGTTCAAATCAGTTACTTTTGTTTTTTTTTGTGAACATTTATAAGGAGGAGCATGTATTGTCTTTTTGTGTGAATGTGTGTGTATGTGTAGGAAACTAGCCTCTAGAACATATCGGCCTCCAGCTCTCAAGTGCCTTAAGCTCAAATTGTAGACGCGGAAAAGCTCCTTTTTGGTGAAATGTGTTTAAACCTGACCATACTTATATCCGGCCTAATTTAATTCCTCTTATTTTTTTTCATCTTATTTTATTCTATTCTATTTTGATGGAACATCACCAGCGCCTGCGATCTTTGCCGTTGGCCGCAGTGCTCTTCCCGTGCAGCTTTGCTCTTTTGAGATTAGCTCTTTTCTTTCCTGGCCGTATGCAAAATAAAGGGCACCTTGTATTTGTACCGAAAAAAAGCTCTTGGGACAATTTCCGTGATGAACGTAATTGAGTCCGTCTAAAAAATGACCTTCTACTGTGTTCATGAATCGCTCTCGCTTTAAAAAAAAAACAAAAACAAAAAAAAAACATAGGAAGTGTGTCTCCAGGTGCAAACGATTTAGCTACTTGTTCACTAAAGCTACATGTTCATTTCCATTCCCCGATGGGACAGGAAAGCAGCGCCGCGGAAAAAAAAGTGCATTTTTATCAGCTGTTTGCTGAGTTAAAGAAGCGGGCCATAGTCAATATGCACCAGCTGAAGCGGGGTACACACACAACGATTTTAACATCTTAACCTTTTATTTTATTTTTTTTCATGGGCCCACACATGGCGAGGGTAAAAAAAAAAACACAAGTGTATACTTTCTGCTCTTACAGCACGACCGCTTCTGATCAGATCAAGGAAGGACCACCGCAAGATAATCGCTCAGAATCATTTATAATTTATTTTTTATTTGAGACATTGGATAATTGGGTCTTTCCATCCCTGTTGTCGGTATGTGTGTACCCCGCTTAAGCCAATGGCTAGCAGTATGTCAATGGAAAATTCCGAGAAATGGGACCAGACCCCCACCCCTTCTTTTTTTTTTTTTTTTCTTCTGATGCTGCCTTCCAGAAAACTGAGAAGTCGGGACACTTTGGAGTTCAAACGACGACGTCTTCACCACAATGACGTCATCGGTTGTTATGCGTTATTTATCGGGTCTTCTATAGCAGGGGTCCCCAACCTTTTTTGCCCCACGGACCGGTTTATGTCAGACAATATTTTCAGGGACCGGCATTTAAGGTGTGGCGGAAATAATACAACAAAATAATATGGTATGAGCTGCATGAAAATTGTGGTGTTTTCGAAATATAATAATAAACACAAGGAGCGTCTAATCTGGCCGCAACACTCTGATCGCTATGGTAATGTTTAATGCCTTCAAAATATGATACAATGCAAATTCAAAGTTCTCAGAATATTCAGCCATAACTTTAATCCAGTTGTCTCGAACGTACTTTTAAGGCCGCCGTCATTTGCGCTCTCCAGCAGTTTTATTACTCATTTTGCGAGCTCTAGCGTTTTGTTTTTAGCGTAATCGGTCACGTGACGAAGAAGCGCGGCTTGACGTGTGTCAAGCGTGACACAGACGGATGTAACGGAGAATCCGGTAATTTTTCAAAATAAAACATCTTTCGTATTCCGAAATAAATAAAACGGAATTAAGGCAAGTTCTTTCTGTGCGGCCCGGTACCAAATGCCCTGCGGACCGGTACCGGTCCGCGGACCGGCGGTTGGGGATCCCTGTTCTATAGAATCGCATGTTTCGTGAGAGTCTTTTCATACACCGTTCTGTGACCCGCTTTCGTTCGTAAATCATAACACACCCTGCTTAATTCGTGTCTCGACCCGAATGAATCGAAATGATATTGAAAATGGAAGGATGACTCTTCCATCTATAGAATGTAAAGCCACTGATGTTGGTTTCCCAAAAAGACTGATTGAACAATGTAGGAAACATAATACAAAATTTGGAATAACTTTATTTCAAACTTCTACACTGCACTCCAGACACTCAACTAATTGTATGCAAGCATTAAAGTCAGTATGTCCACTTCATGTTAAGAAAAGGGAGAAAAAAAAAAAAGATCAGTCTATTTTTGTCTAGACTTTGGCCATGTTTTGTTTACGTTGAGACAGTACGCTTTGACTTGAAGACCCAATTGAAGCATCTAAGCTTGCCTTAAGCACGAATCGGTATCTTCCGACTTCCCAGCAGCCTCGAACGCAGTGCTAAATCCTTTTTTTTTTTTTTTTTTAAAGTCAAGGGACAAGCTTGTTATCTGAATGACAGCGCGGCAATCGACATCCACTCATTCCCGTACAGTTTGTAGGAAAAAAGGCCTTCTCAAAGCCTTGAGCCGTTTGAAAATGGACGATAATCAATCCGAATATACTGTAATCGTGTCAAACTGCCACAGTGTATTTCAATTGATTTTGTTAAAAGCTCATTCATGACTACTGTTAAAAAGTATGAATGTAGTTCCTTCACAAATTCTTTTTTTCCCCTCCCCCTTTTCAGTCATTTGAATTACATTTGTAATACGTTCGGATTTTCGGAACTGCCCTTGCAATGATGTCGCAGAGACCTGTACTGCTGTAAATTGTCACGAGTTTGTTTACGTGCTTTTATTTGGGGTTTTTTTGTAACTGTTTCATTTGACAGAATCCTTTGGTCTTCATATTTTTGCTTGTAAAAACATAAATAAATAAAATAAGGATGTCTCACTCAAATTTTAGAAAAACAAACCAAAGTGATGTTTCCTGTCGCTGTCCAGGTATTCCAGAAGATTGTCCCTTCTTAAAACGGAACGCCGCGTTTCGCTGGCGAGTACAATTTAATTCCTTGCGAGACGTAGAATTCTGTTTTTGAGGGCATTTATTATTTCACTTAGCGGCTTAATAACAACTCTGCTGATGGCTTTTGCTTTCAACATCGACACACTTGAGCCCGTGTTCGTTGCCGTTTGACCAAAGACCTGTAATTTGTACTTTCACCTCGAAATTTTTCTTTCAGTAAAAAAACGGAAGTTAGTAAAGGAAGGAAAAGAATCACCTGCTACCTTAAATAGTTAATTAGCAGTCATAAATTCTTTTTCTCCCGAGTTGACAAAAAATACAGACAAATCCCTTCGAATTGTGTTTTTATGGCCGGTTCAAAGGTTCTGTTCAGGACAGTGAAGGAAGTGAATGTGACCCTGATGCGGCCATATCGGCTTCAGTTTTCAGAAGTTCTCTTTACTCGAAAGGGGTTTGTAACAGTGGGTGGTTTATTAATTTATATACCGCACGGTGCTTTTGATTCACTGTCCGTAAAATGAGTTTGTGTGGCAGATACTTATCCCATCAAAACAATCCAAAACGTCCACTTAGTAAGCACTGCAGTTTTGTCGTAACTTTTTGTGCCTTTTTATGATTGGAGTTTAATTAGTCGCTCAGAGGAAAATCAAAACATTTTTAACGCGGCTGTTTAGTTCCGTCTGGAATTCAGAACATTCAAGAGTGAGAATTCCCCCAAAAGTGCCGCTAACGATGCTAAGCAGCTCCATGCATTTGTTACAAGCGTCCTGTTTCGATCAGATTACGTTATTGGAGTTTACATCTAAACCGCTCACTCGGACAGTGACATCAAAGTTCAGAACCTTGAGAGATTTTCCTCACGACTTGATTCAATAGCCGAGAGTATTAGGGAACGCAGACGGAAGCCATGTCGCTAACCATGCTAAGCGCTAAGACTGCATGGATAATCAGCTCCTCGGACATGAAAACACGTGTTCACAGAAGCTCAAGAACAATCCATTACACAACTGCCACAAAAGTCTTGAGTAGCATGTCTCCATAGCTAAAATATGCTCAATTAGCCTAGCTGGCTAGCAACTCTTCTGCCGTTTCCCTTCTCTGGCCATTTTAGTTTCAACTGGTTAATGGAACAAATTTTCACTGCGCAATTTCATTTGTTTTGTTTCAATAGCGAATGAAAGCGTAAGTGAAGCTAATTCTAGAAAGTGGTCTGACGTTGGTGTGGAAAGGGTCTATGTTTCCGCCACGGTCTGTATTTACCATCCCATTCAAGACAAGAACTTAAAAAGACAGCAATATTCAGTCGTTAAAGATGTAATTTAGATCAATCCAAATGTGAAACAAAGCGCACCAAACAGGAAGAATCTTGTAAATGTAAATGCACACGGCATACTGTACTTTTGAATCTGTTTTGCATTTTAGTTGTTGTTTTTCGTTGTTTTTGAATGATATAAACATGCGAGCCTGAAGATTTATGCAATCTTGTACACGTGTAATGACGTTGAGTGAGATGTTGGAATTGAAAATGACTTTACTAGTGCAATTGTTGTGGAAATAAAAAGTAAAAAAAAAAAAAGAATCTGAATGTGGAACCGGCTGTTCCATGTACTGTAGACATGTTATTATTTTTGTTAATGTTTTGAAGCCCTGAAATATTGAATGTATTGTTCTAAATTAGATATTCAATGAAGAGGTCACTGGAATATTATCATTACGGAGTGCAGTTCATTCATTTTGATGTAGCATCTAGTTGTAAACTGCTATTCAATAAAAACAAATGTATTAGCACTAAACTAAAGGTGTCCCCCCCGGTTAACGCAGTGCTCGAATGGAAAATAGATTTAATGGGATTATTCCTGTCAGTGCGTTTGAATATTTGAATATTTTTATGATCATCTGTAGGAATTCAAAATGAGAATCACAAGAATTTTACTGTCGGTATCTTGATTTTGTGTTCTGAACACAAACATATTGTATAGGTGCAGGTTCTAGAGTACTGTACTACCAGAGTTGTTTTTCTCTTATTTTTTATTTCTACATTAAAGATTGTGTACTGCATATTTTCTATAGTGGATGACTAGTTTGTTAACACTTGTTAAATTGTTACACTAAAGTGTTGTAATGGTTTACAGAGTTCACAAGATTATTTTTTATCATCTTGACAATTAAACAAAGTTTTCATCGATGTGTGATTATTTTTTTCAATGTAATTGATTTAGCCCTTCACAGGGAGATGTAATTATTCAATACAGTTGATTCATTATTTGCTCCTGTATTAAGTACTTTATTGATTTCCCGCAATGATCAAAATGTATTTAAAAGTATATACACTTGATATCTTAATCTAAAGGAAAAAAAAATCAATTACAAAACAAAACTTTCAGGGCTATTTACCTTGCATTCCATTCCCATATTACACATCGTTATCTATTGTTATCGGAAAGTGAAGAAAGTACTGTAAGACTTATTTAAAAGGATTCTGGCCAAACTTACTTGTGAGTTGATTGGTAGCAATTCATGAATTTTGGCTGGGAAAGCTAATCCACTTCCAATGCAAAGTTATTTCAAAATCAATTTTAGCAACTTTCTGATAAAATGCATTTTAAGAGCCAGTAAAGAGACTATGCCACTCCTTTAAAAAGCAACGAATCATACATACTTAAAAATTAAGCAAGTCATTAGGTTCACCTACTCATCACATGAAAACATTTTGCCCCCCCAACCCAAATAGACCCACGAATAAGTTTCCCATGATAAATTGGTGCAGTTTGTCGTCCTCCCACCAGATGGCAGCCTATCCCTACTGTGCACGGGTTAAAAATCAAGTCCCTTAAAGATCACTGTTAAGCACTTCATACCTTAAATATTAACGCAGCATTATTAATTTGAAAGGCTTTTATTATCATATCAATGTGCGCATTTTAGTCCGATAAAAGGGGTTGAGGACAGTAATCATGCTTATCATTAATTTCTATGCCTCGACAGCTGTCTTTTGTGATGCCTTCAATGACGTCCAGAGAAAAACTAACTAGGCTAATCCTCGAAAATTAGCTTTAATTATTTTTGTTGGCGTATGATACATTTTAAAAAGCCTTACGTTGTTGAGGAACTGCACAAAAAACTCCAAAGGCGTATGCTGATGTGACGAGCTTGTTTACAGCGTTATCTACGTCACCTGAAGTGTAAAAGGAACAACTTGGCTTAAACGCCGCAGTCTGTGAAAGGGGAAAAAGTCAAGTGGGCATCATAGGACTGTTTTCCAAGGACTTTTTCATTTTCGTTTCTACAAACTTCTACAATGGTTCGAGCTTGAAGCAGAAATACGTGCTCAAGGTAGTCCTCCCAAACACAAACTATCTTACGATGATCACCTCAGCGACTCCTGTTATTTACCTGCAACTTCAATTATCTTACCTTGCTCATTAAGCAACATGTTAGCTCGCTACATGTATACACAAGCTACCTGTACTGGAAAATGTGAGAAACAGATCTCCCGTTTTGACAAATTACACCCACAGTAGTAACCTTTTACTTTTAACGTCACATCTTTATGACCGTGTTGGTCCAGATTGCGAATTAGTGTACAGTATTTGATAAGCGGGTCGATGGGATTTGTACGTAAATCGGGACGCTGCATCCTGCAATAAAGGTGGCAAACAAACAAACAAAAACAACTGGTAAATGTACCGATTTAACTCCTTTTAATCAGGTAAAGGTACAAAAGTGTAGACTTCAAATGACCTTCAGTACAAAAGTCAAATGTGTTTATACCTTAATACTTATCACCACTGCTTGGGACTTAAAACCAAAGACCCTCCTTGTAACTCTCTTGTTGGTCGACTGGAACTGTTGTGTTGTTGATGGTGGTGCTCTCAAAAAAAAGGGCGGCAGTACAGGTTTTGATGCATTTATTGCACACTCCATTTCTTACAGCGCAAACTATTTTAAGGTAAACATTTTTCCAGCCATATCTACTTGCATGTGACATTTTTTTGCCTTTTTGCCATTTTTTTAAAGCCTTTTTTTGTGTGTGTCTACGATGTCTTAAGTCTAGTCTAAGATGACTAAGCAAATGGATTCTTGTGATTTGTTTTTTTTGTTTGTTTGTTTTTCAAAGTGATTTGGCTCACTGTTTGGAACCACCATTGCTACTTGCATCAATGTATGGCTGCTCTGCACGTTTGGAAGAGTTCGGCGTCAATATCTCGCAGGTCCTGACCTGCGAGACGTGTGGGGCTAGCGCACGTTATGTTGTTGTGTATGGTGATGGTGGTGTCAGGCTCTTCACCCTCGGCGTGGGTCTCTACTCGTCGAGGCACCACATTCGGATTCCTCAAGATGTAGGTCCTCAGCGAAGTGGCGCCGCAGTCGCATTTCCAGCGGTTTCCCGACAGCAGAAGCTTCTCCATGTTTTCGGAGAAATCCGGGACGAGGCTCGTCAAGGCGTTTGCTCTCAGGTCGAGGTAGCGCAGCCTCGGAAGGAGAAGCTTGGTGCCGTTGTGCGGAAATTGGCGGCATTCGTTGTTGGACAGCAGCAAGTACTCCAGATTCTGAAGACCGGAAAATGTGTGGCTGGTGAGAACGTCTAATTTGTTGAAACTCAAGTCCAATCCCAGCAAACCCGCCAGGTCTGCAAAGCTATGTCGTTCCACAGTGGAAATGTTGTTGTGCTGCAGGAAAAGTCTGCGTAGACTTGACAGCCCTGTGAATGCTTGACTCGTCACTTTTGTCAGACAGCCTTTGTCCAGATGAAGGCTGTGCAGCTTTGACAGACCTTTGAAAATCTGATTGGGTAGACTCTGGAAGCAGCTTCCCGACAGATTTATGACGGCCACATGCGAGAGTCCCGCGAAGCTACCCGCTTGTGCCTCCTGAACTTGGTTGTGCTCGAGTTCGAGAACCTCCAGATGTCCAAGGCCTTCAAAAATCCTTTCGCCGAGGGCACGGATTTTGTTGTGGCTCAGACGCAGTTCCTCTAAGAACTGCAGATCACGGAACGTCCTGGGCCTAATTGCGGGGATTGAGTTGTTGGAAAGACGTAGCACAAGAAGATTGTGCAAGCCCAAGAAGGTGTCATCATGGAGGGTGGTCAGTTTGTTGTTGGTGAGGTCCAACCATCTGAGAGCTCTCATGCCTACAAAGGCCCTCGGCGCCACTGTGACAATTTGATTCCGTGCCAGATAAAGCTTCTGCAGTTTCACAAGCTTGACAAACACATTTGCCTTGATGACTTTGAGGAAATTTCCCGTTAGATCCAATTCTTTAAGCTCGCCGAGATTTTGGAAAAGCTGCGGCTGCAGGTAGGCGAGTCGGTTTCCCGCCAGGACCAGTTCTCTGAGACCTTGCAGGTCTTGGAAAATGTTCTCGGGCAAGACGGCTATCGAGTTCCAGCCCATGTTTAGAAGCCACATGTGCGAGAGTCCGGAAAAGAGCCTCTCCTCAATACGAGTGAGCTGGTTGTTGTGCAGACTGATGGAAGCGAGGTTCGGCGTGTTCTGGAAGACGATACCTGGTAACGTGCGCAAGCGATTACGCTCAAGGTGAATGTGAGCCAACGACCGAAGTCCTCGGAAAGCCTGAGCGTCCACGGTTTCTAGCTGGCCGCTCTGCAAATTCAAGAAGTGCAGATTGCTGAGATCATTGAAAGAGGCCGCCGGCAACGCGGTGAAAAGGTTGCCGTCCAGCCAGAGAGAGTGAGTCGCTCTCGGAATGTCCGTCGGGACTTGGGTAAAGTTGCGGACGCTGCAGTACATGTTGAGTTCCAGGCTATAGTCATCGTGCAGACAAGAGCATCCCTTGGAACACGGAATCGGTTCTTCCGTCGTCGGGCTGGGTTCGGGCAACACCGCCGATGTTCCCAGCACCCACAATGAGAACAGCGCAAGGGTTTGCAACGTAAGGGTTTGCATCCCAGCTGTGGAATGATGGGCTGGTTAAATTACAGCATGGGAAACCCGTCCTGAAAAGAGTCACAGAAATAAATGGCTTACCTTAAACCTGGAACGTCTCGCTTGTCGGAGCGCAGTGTGCAAGCAGCGGAATGACACAACCTTGTGCAATCGTTTGTGTACTGAATGACTGCAAAGGCATGCCCCGACCAATCTTTTTTTTTTTTTTTTTTTTTTTTTTTTTAACCAAATGTGTTTGGTTAACGCAGTTCCTTCCATCTGGTCTGAGTGACCCTCACCCTTTCAAATCCACCACCTCTCCTAAAACAGAGCTGTCAATGTACTTCTAGTTGTATGTCATTGATATATAATACAATCTTTGTCCACCCAGTCGTGTGATGGCGGCTTTTGGCGCTTACTAAAGTGCTCTCGTTGAGTGCTGTAGAGTAGACGAGATCAGATAAACCTTGTTGCACTGGACTAACTCAAACAACGTTGTATACATTGTCCATTCAACCCCCCCCCCCACCCCCCCCCAAAAAAATGCTCGTCACTGTGACGTTAATTCATAATGTCAAGCATATTCTCTCCTTTTTTTCCCCTCATTTGCACAAGAGACTCGATAGCAGTGGAGTTCCAGAGGGCCGTTTCCTAATCTGTGATCATAATGGCTAACTTTTTGTTTGCTCTTTTCCTCTGTATCTTGGCTTGTTTTAGACAGCCATGAACTGCTGATGCTCTTGAGGACAAGACAACCAAATTTAGATAATGCGCGTTGTGCGTCTGTGTGAGGCACATGAATGTCATTGATTGATTGACACCGTGAAGAGGATTTTGTCACATTGATGCAGGCGGTCATTAGTCAAAGTCGTCATTTGTGAAAAATCCGTGACACCGTGCTCATGTCACGTTTGCAGAATTTATTGGGGAAGTACTTTGGAAAATGGCGTTCTGAATGGAATCAAGTGCGAAACGTTTTGTCCAAATCGCTACTCAGATCTTTGAAAGAGTTTCCATTGTAGCCTGAAAACCGGCTTGTGACTGTTTGTTCTCTCTTTGTTTGTTTGGTATTTATGATCTTAGGCTATTATCCAAGTACATGGTGCTCAGAGCTAAATAACCTTTGAAACCTCCCAACTGTGGCATGTAACCATAGCGACAGGGTCATGTTACGACGGCGTGACGTCACGGCCGTAAAGTGAGCGGTTGCCGAAAAGTGTTGATATAAAACGTGGCTACTGACAATAAACGGCAGTGAGCACAGAGTCAGTCTCCACAGATTTTATTGAACATAACACGAACGTTTCCCTTTTAGTGTGAAAATTAAGTGTACAACCAAGCGTTGACGGTACATACCATGGAATAGTTTTATATATTTTTTTTTTTGTGAATTAATCCACTCAAGCGCAATCGTGAAACCTCAGTCAGTTGTTCAATCTCAAATCACAGCCACCACCGCCAAGCATCGGCAAATTGGTGGACCAACATTTTTTTTTTTTTTATCTGTCACGGTTCACAGTTAACTGGAGTGTCCATAGCTTAGCAGATGTGCTAAGCGGCCTTTCACCCCGTGCAGGTGTGCTCACTGCTCTTATATGTGGTGCCGACTCAAAGCCCTTTGACAGCCAAACACGCCCGCGGACCTTCCCAGGGGCTATTAATAGGTACCGAAACTCGCTTTATCTCAAGATGGCGGGGGCGACATGTCGGAGGAGCTGCAAATCAGCCATGCTTCATTCATTGATTGTGACCTGTGTGACGAGATTCCAATTGTACCAAACGAACCGCTGACGCCTCCTCTTTAGGCCATCGGTGGTGGCTAACGTGTCGCGGTTTGCTAGCATAGCTGCCCTTCTGTGCCACTACAATGAGTCGTCGGTTCACGATGGTGCCCATATCCCGTCTACAAGTTTGCGCAACGGCGTCAAAAATACCTCGTCATGAGGCACATTGAGATACCGCCGTGGTTAATGTTTTAATTTATATTTATATGTACGGCCTCGGCTCGAACTGACTAGTCGAGGCTCCTTCTCCGCATCGACATTTAAATGCTTGAAGTGAACGACTCGTTCAACACGTGTTTTTTGACATCGAGTCTTCCAGTCGATTAATTCACAGAAGATTTATCGACTCGTCCATCTTCTGCCGTCGCCGAATTATAACGCTCAGTGGCGCAGCGAAATGACCAGCAGACAGTCCTCAGATTTCTGCTTGGGTCCGAGCGTACAAAAAAAAAAGCCGGTGGTGGATGAGAATAGCTGTTAGCTTGCTTCCCTCAACTCTCCTCTTCAGCAGTCGTTTCGTTTTGGCAATGTTATGGTTGCTGCTTTAAAAAAAAATATGCAGAGAAAAATTGTTTGTAGACTTCAGAGTTTATTTTGAAGCAAAACTCACTGGAACCTAGGCTGGTAGTTTTTCCATCCGCAGCCTTTGAAGTCCATGGAAGTGAGTGGAAACTTGACATCAAGATGTTGGGGTCAGAGTTGTGCATTATTGTTGTTAAATTCTAGTATTGGTACTGTTTGTCCTTGAAATGGAAAATGTGTTTGCCTTGTGGTCAAACGAGCCCAAAGCGTCCATTGTCCACGTTGCTGAGCACTTTTTCTCTTTATAACCCACTCCCTGATTTCCAAAACAAAGTAAGGAGTGATGCAAGGCTAACTACATCCGTGGCATGCTCCATGAACTGTAATTCTGCATTGACGCATTTTATGATAGATGATCTAATACAGATGGGTTTTCTTTTTGTGGTTTTTGTTTTTGAATGAATGGTCCAACTTGTAATTCGCCAGCATCACAACTAGGTAGCGCAACTAGACTATTTGTGCCTTTCCTGCACTGGTCATGCTACATTCCTATGACCATGCCTGTCTAGTTACCTCTAACCGTTGACTGTATTTCTTGTGTTGGATATCCTACGACTACACGGGTGTACTTCATGTTGACATGAGAGTCTCGAAATGACCCATTTGTGACAAGTTGGTCACACGTAAACTGGTAAGCAGGTGAGGTAAAAGTGTGTCATTGGAATGGGATGAGAATTTTATGATGAGTGTTAACAGTCAGTTGCCCAGGGCTCCTGTTCCACATTGAGGGTAGTGGAGTGAATAAATATAGACAGAAGTGTAGGTCAATAAAAAGGGAGAGGGGAAAAAAAAAGCTAACGGTGCCTGTGGGATGTTTGAAATATTTTTTTAGTTCAATTTTATGGACAAGGATTAAAGCGCTGCATTTCAGCAAGGTCTCTGACATTCTTTGGGTTAAGGAATTAAAGCCACTTCATATCCACTTTGCTTCCATTTTTAAAAAAATTATCTAACTATTCAATTGATGGTTTGCCAATGTGAGCCATTGTGTGTCTAACAATAAAAAAAAGGGTTATTTATGACCAAACCGTTTTTAGAGTGAAAAGGAACATGTCACAAAATAGCTATGAAGAGCCCCCCCAAAAACAAAATAATCAAACCCTCGGAGGCTATACCGCCGTACCGTAACAATATTTTATATAAATAATCCAATCACAGATATTTTCAGGATCTTGATTTGTTGTCTGACTCGTTCACCCCATCACAAAAGTGTCAAGACAATATAACAACAGCATAAATCTAAGAATAGTTGGGATTATTTTCAGCTTGACATCCTGGCAAGATTCTCAGTCTGCGTCTCAACATATGAGCACAAACACAGCCACTCACTGTTTCAAGATTCCTTTCTTCCATCTTCGCAGACATCTTGACTTTCCCTCAGTCTACCCTTGAACTCGGCAGTTGGAATACCCAGCGGACGGCTAACGTTTCGTCGTGTCTGCCGCAGAGGCTCCACTCACAACTCCCCACAAACATAGCGACTGGAGAACGTGAATGATAAATACCACGTGAGCAATGTTTTTCTATAACTCAAGCAATCGAGCTTAAGACAATAAATAATATTATTTTTAACGGGAGGGGAGAATCTCCCGTGTGTGAAGTTTGGTCTTCACTTCTTTCGAAACAGCAAATGATTCGAGTTGCAGGGAATTGTATTATGTTTGGCCATCTGGAACACTGTGTCAAACTTGAGGCCCGGGGGCCAGATCTGGCCGGTCATATCATTTTGTGTGGCCCACGAGAGCAAATCAAGCATGTCAACTTTTCCATGGTTTTACAAAATGCAGTCTTAATGGCCCTCTCAGGGAAACCGTAACTACAATGTGGCCCTCGACAAAAATGAGTTTGACACCCGTGGTCTAGAACAATCGAATAAAGAACAAAATTGTAATCGGCTTCATGACACCGCACGGACACATGGCAGTCTGCTATTAAAAAATATATTTTAATAGCAAAATGAACAAAAGCGTGACATTTTTGTACTGCTGCAACACGGTGAAACACAAACTCACAATATCAAACAATGTGGGGGGATTAAAAATACTTTCCCTGTTTTTGCACTCCACCGTAATTTCCAAAAATTTGGACTGTCTTTCCGTTTTACGTGCTGCTGGCACATTTGGTCCTTGTTATTCTCAATTCGTCAACTCTCCACCTGTTAAATTATTGAATTTATGACACCCTTTGAATTAAAATGATTTCAAATAGTCCTCCAAACTCACGTTTTGCTCGACGACTGACCTCAAAAGCTTGTTTTGGTGATTTCCCCAGTCCATACCATCAAACATTTAATCGGTCACTAAAATAATAGCCGTATTAAAAGGCATTTTCCTTATTTTTTGTAGAACGTGTGATATCAATCTTTGCACTGCAAAAAAAGCACTCATTAGAGCAACCGGGTACAAATAGAGTGCATGGAATAGGTATAATGTACATTTCTGATTGTGAAAAACAGCAATGAACCACAAAAGTTTGACGATGTAGTTCTTCATAAAAACAGCAATGTTTTTGTCCGAGTAAAAAGGTATAGCGTAACACTGCGTGCTCACAACATTCAATAGTATTGACTGGTTGAAAGTAAAAATATGACCCCAGCTTTGAATCAAGAGAACACACTGAATTTGGATCATTTCACTCGTTGTGTAAAGCGCACGCACACAAAATTGTGTGTCATTTAGAGAACGTATAGATGCTTACTTGTGATGCAATATACATAACAGTCTGTGTAATTTCTGTCCTTTTTGTTTTTGCTCTTGGAATTTAGGGATCTACATTTCAGTGGTGCCTCAAGAGTTATTAGTCAAAAATCTGGTTTTTTTTTTTTTGTTTTGTTTTGTTTTTTTGCTTTGACTTTCCGACAAAAATGAGAGGTACGAGCACTGTATGGTGGCAGTCAACTCAACATACTTTATAACTAGGCAGATAGCTTCAGTCTGTTTAATGACACACCCTTGACCTCAGGAAAGTCCATATGCCTTAAGTCTAACAATGCCAAGAGCATCAGTGTCGCGGTTTTATCACCCTTTCAGCAACAGATAGTTGAAGACAAGCAGTGGAGCAAAACATGTAGAAAGATAATATATCAATACCTACAAGTGTCTCATGTATTATTTATCCTCTGCAAAGAACGACTAATCTTACTGAAATTTACTGAGGATTGATCATTTCCATGTATCTCTGTATGTCTGTAGAAAACTACTGCCAGGCGGCCAAGTCATGCGCACCACGAGGAGCAGCACAATGTCCGTTGAATTGAAACGAATCATGTGGTTTCAAAAACTCATGAGGATGGGCGATTCCGTGACGTGGACGACTTTGAAGCCCAGCACGGAGATGATTGGTAAGTGTCACCTGTCCACAATTTGCATACCTCTTCTAATCCGTGAGCTCTGCGTCGTTTAAAAGCTCTTTAAAAAGAATGCGGTTTTGAGGATCACCAAATGATTTGCTCGGATCACGATTTGGATCCTAAAACGATAAATTGTTCAGCCCAAATCTCAGGGCACCACTGTTGTTTGGCCTAGGTGGAGGTCTATGTTGGCGTTGGAGGGTATTTTATTTATCTCGCATTTGTGATTTGATGTTATTGTTGGATGACACTCATTTGAATTCAAACCTTTGTCGTGAACGCTGTCCATGACGTCCACACAACCGTATGTTGTTGAACAGTCCGCAGTCGTATTTTACACAAGCACTTCCTGCACTTGCCGTTTCTTCACTTCATACTGTCACTTCCGTCTTGCTGTTGGTGACCAAATAGGGCTGCGGGGGCAGGAAGCGAACGTTCTGAAGTTCCCTCCCCGTGACGCAGAAGTTAGTCGGGTCGTAGCACTGCCTCAGCCCCAGCACGTCTTTGCTCTCCCAAGGTCTCGGCGTGGCCGGGCTGGAAAAAGAGCCAAAGGACAGCGACTGGGAGCTGTGGCTTCGCGGGTTCTTGTGCTTGCGTACGCTCTGCATGCTTGACATCTGTCTGGGCGGGCTGTAGGGGTTGCTGGGCTCCGCGTCCACATGCTCCATTGGAAGGCTGCCCTTCGTTGTTATTCCACTCAGCACTTGGCGGCGGTTGATGTAGAAGCCGTCGTTAGCTTTTTCTGCTGACAGAGAGAGAAAAGCGAGACCGATGAACTCAAGTGGTTCTCAAAAGCTTGGGTCCAGGGAGGTGGTGGGTGATGGAGTTCTGTGCCGACGGCGGCGGCGTAACCGAACCAGGACAAAAGTTTTAACCCGTTGTAGTCTATCACAAACCTACGCTCGCGCAGTCGTCAAGTTAACATTACAGTAAATACAGTAAGTACTGTATTTTTCGTACGATAAGGCACACCTAAAAGCATTCATTGTTCTCAAAAGCCGACAGTGCGCCCTATAATCCGATGCGATTTATATATGGATAAATATTCAGATTTCTTGGATGGAGCATTTTAAATGTTCTGTAAAGCGCTTTGTTACAGCGCAATCTAACTAAAGCTACACTGTATTGTGCTCCCTTTAGTGTAGCTCCATCTAGTGGATGCAAAATGCAACCTCAGCCACTATTGTAGCTTCTAATCTATGCGCCTTATAAAGCGGTGCGCCCAATATATGAAAACTATTTTAAAACAGGCCATTGATTGAAGGTGCGCCTTATACTCCAAAGCGCCTTATAATGCGGAAAATACGGTATATGTATTAAAAACACCTCTGTGCCATACACAATTAGCCTGGTGACGTGCATTTACATTCTTTGTCAATTACCACTTAGATAAAAATTTAAGAAAATCAACTCTGATTTTCTGTGAGACAAATCAAGTTGTCTGTGGTTGAGGCACCGAGATTTTCATGCGACAGATGATAACCGCCTGTCGATGTGCGTCTATGCGGCTTCGCCCCAAGGAGAAACAGGCAGACACTTTTTAGAAAGCAACCATCAAGTTCAACTGTCTCCTTGCGTGCAAGTTTGTGTAAAATTGTATCATTATTCCCGTAGTGCGCAGGATGTCAACAATAAAGACCGAGAAACCATCAGACCCCCGAAAGTCAGCTGCCGTGTGGCTTTATGACGCCATTAACGATTCGGGTGAGGACACAATTCATTATTAGCAGTGGTTAACCTATTTTTACATGGAAATGGATTCCTTCGGGCGTCATTATTTCCTTTTGTTTCAAAATCCGTAATTGTTTTGGATTGTATTCGAGGTTCCACTCTGCATCCTAAACAACAACAATTACGTCCGCATGTTGTCCAGGTGTCGGGTTTGGCACTGTACTGGGTGGCTGTGTTGCATCCACTCGCCACGAGTCATTTGCGTTTTGGGTTCTCTTGATTGCCTCCTGTCCTCGAGCTCATTAGCTAAGATCTGCTCTATTTTTGAGCACCCCTAATTATCTGTTTGCTCGACGCGCACTTCCGCGGAGTCGGAGGAGCTTCAGCTGCGTAGTCCAAAACGCTCCCCCCAGAGAGAGTGTTCAAAAAGGCATGCTGTTGTGCTTCAGGATGTGGATCGATATTGACGTCTGGTTTCCGACCTGTTTTTTAACATCCTTATTTTTTTTTTAGCGCCACCTGGGAAAGCGCTTGTATTTTCAGTCCGCTTGAAGGTTTTGGCGGCTCTCTCACGTCGAGACAATTGCGTCTTGTTTCAAATGCCGACTTACGCCGGATCAGTTCCAAAATGGTCACTTGAGACGATCAACAAACACATCCTATAAATACCCTCTGCTTCCCCTCCCTCCGGACCTTGACGGCCTATTGATTAAATGTGAGGGAAGAAAGGTTTCTAGATATTTGGAGCAACTAGAAAAACTACCCTTAACTCATTCAGTACCAGCCAATTCTAGACCAAGTCTGAAAAGACGTTTAAAAACGTCTTTGGGAGTGAATGAGTTTTAAAGGAAAAAAAAATCCTGATCATTCTGTTAATTGATTCATTGTACATTCAAGTTTTGTTTGCATTCTTACCGACAGCCTTGAGGGTGGCGTACTTGTTGAGGTCCTTGACCAACGTCTGCGGCTCGTAGGGGCTGCTGATCGAATCCAACAGTGCGTATGGCTCGGTGAGCAGAGGCGAGGCAGGCGTGGCGTTGTTCATCTGGGGGCTGTCTGAAAAAGTGAACATTGGGATGGGCAAAATAGGAGCAACTGCAGATAAGCATATCGCCACCGACTGACCCTGCACAGCAACCTTGTTGCCGGAAAAAAGAAGAAGAAGAAGAAGAAGAAAGAGTCGTAGAGGAAGCCACAGAAGGAAGCTCGGCTAATTCTTAACGATTGCATAAGCTTTCCTAATCATTTATATTGCGATGAAGAGATCGGGCTCAGGAGTGTGAATGTTTAAGAGCTGGGTGTAGTTTGTGCGCTAGACAGCGACGGGCCCTTTCGCGGGTGCAGCTGGAGTATTGTGGCTGCTTTCCCAATCCTACACACGGCTTCCGCGTAATTAATGGCTATGCAGCCAATGGACTGTCCCCCCCCCTCTGTCGTGGCCTGGCATGACAGCGCCAACAGATGTTTAGAAAGTCGCGGGAAAGTAAATCCTGTTTGCTCATTATGCATGTCTGTATATCAGTACGTTGGATAAAGAATGTTGAGAAGAATGTGCTATTTTTTTTTTTCAAAATAAGCGCTAAATTCAAACGTGAGATGATCGATCATGATTTGATAAACCGCTCGCTGTCATCGACTCATGAGCGTAATCAATCAAGCCTGCATCGCGACTCTTTTCAAGATTAAGATCCAATCCCATTGTTAGAGATTGAGCAATTTGAGTCGGCCGTTCGTTGCTGTAGGATTCCTGTGGAAAAACAGATCATTAATCCAGAATGAGGTTAATGAGGCTCTTATTCCCCACTGGTCAGCAAGAGACTGTGCTAATTAATGCGGAAGGAGTCTCTCATCGCCGACACCGTCTCGCCTTATGATGCAGACGATGGGTTTGATGACCGGTTTTGACTTCAACACATCTAAGCTCTCCAAAACAACGAGGATTCAGACCGCACCTTCCCAAACAAAATACAAATCCCATGATCGTTTACAATCACCGAAGGTTCACTTCCAGTTTTTCCCTACCACTGACCAATCACACCAGTGAGACCAGAATGAATGAATGAATGAATGGATCTTTATTGTCATCGCACATGCACAAAAGTACACAACAACAACACTGACTTCAACATGTAATGGGAAAAAAAACTAAGCACATATAGTCACATTACAAAAAAAAAAAGACATGTACACATTTATGCCAGAACTCAAGACACATGTGGGAGACGAGACGGTGGTTGTTGGGGTGGTGACCAAACCAGTCAGTGCGCCGTCGCGGGGCTAAACCAACTTTGCTTTGTCAGGCAAATCCTTTCCACTTGTTGACCTGCTTTACTTTCATACAATTAAAGCCTAAGTGGGCCAAAGTCATTTTCTGTATTCTGCTGCCATGCACATGACTCGACTTCATACTTGTCTTCTAAAACTTTGATCACATACTGATTTTAAACATCCGTTTTAGATTTGAGCGACACCACACATGACAAGGAAATAATCGGTGAGTCTCTATTGTGGACCTGAAGTCTGGCTAATTTCCTTGACGGTCAGGGTTTCATTCGCGATCATTAACTTAATCGACCTGACAGAGCTGAACCTAGAGTGCCGAAAAATGTGTTCTTTTTGCGTCTAAGCTACTGCCAATGGATTAATAAATGAACGACAAGGTCTTTCGTAAACATGTGACGCATGTTTTTCTATTCCCAGAATGCTGAACTGCACGTCTAGTTGTTTGTCTTCTTTTAACGCGTTGACAGAGTACTGTCAAGAGTTGCGGCTCTCGTGTCAAAAAGTAGGCCGCTGTTGCCTCGTGAGGTTCAAGAAGCTCGTTGTCGCTGATAGACACGTCCATGGGACTCGTAAAACGTTTGACACAAGTATTTTTTTTTGTTTTCTCAGGTGAGTTAGAGGCCTGTTAAGTGTAACGCTAACAGATATGGAGGCTGAGCTACAAACCGGCCGCAACCAGAATTGCGTCTGCCAAACGGGCCACATAGTCCCGTTGGCAAAACTCCTTTCAGCTCTGAATTTTTGCACGTCTGAGTCATTTTAGCGCACTGTGACGATTTTTGGTGGTTTAGACACGACCATACACCAGATGGGCATTCAATTGCCACACATTCAGGACAACGTAAATCGAGAAAAAACTGATTTTCATTGCGTTAGCGAACTTCCCCGACACGATTGATTGCTGCTTTTATCCGGTGGCTGCCGGCGAGTTATTAGCGACTAAACTGCTAATGTTTATGTGGGCAGGCTGTGCGAACTCTGCTCGCATTTTTGCCACTTGTTTAAATAATTCAACAGGTCTCTGGTCTTGCCACCGACCCTCATACATATGAGAAACCTGCCTCATGATGTCCTGGAGAGGAGGATCCCATTTGAACGCGTTTGGGAGAACTGTTGCTTAGCATTAACTGTGGTAAACATGTACTGAAAATCAGAACTGATTTCTAGCCTCTCCACTTCCTGATCCAAGCCAACAAAGTCCTGATTATCAGCTGTCACTTATTTTATCCAAGGCAATTATTTTGTGGTGCGCGGTGTGCTCAGTCATCTTTACTCCCTGATCTGCTCAGAAAATAGTCCATGCTAACAACTGTAAAGGTTAAAGTTGTCGATATCATAAATTCTTGTGTGCGGCCAAGGCCCACGTGATAATGGTGGGAAACGGAATGCTCGCGGTGTGCTCAGTCATCTTTACTCCCTGATCTGCTCAGAAAATAGTCCATGCTAACAACTGTAAAGGTTAAAGATGTCGATATCATAAATTCTTGTGTGTGGCCAAGGCACACATGATAATGGTGGGAAACGGAATGCCACTGATCACGCTACGCCTGACTGTTACAACTTCTCTTTATTCTTCTTTGTATTTTCCGCAATCTAGATGCCCTGTGACACCATGCTGCCTCTCATAGGTCAGTCTTAGTACTGCAACAGACATCTGGTTTGAGGGGATGCATTGGAAGTTACCGTTTTTTTTTTTTTTTTTATGGGATGGTACAACCCGGATACATATTGCTGCATTTTTTTTAAATAATGGTGCAGTATTTTATGCAGTGTCAAAACTATTTTACAAGTCCGATCAGGAAGAAGATGAATATGTGCGTTGCTCCTGACACTTACGTAGACTGTTTATTGCGACTCTTGTCTGCATGTTCTCATAGTGCAGGCCCAGGCTTATCTCGTCCGGATGTTCTGAAGCGGGATGACGGGTCACATGCGCCAAAGGTCTGCAAAGACAAATACTGCATGGGTAATACAAATATCCAAACACATTCTAAAGGATGCAAACAGAAATATGAAATGCTGTAGTTATTGAATTTTGTGTACCGTTCTGATTTCATATGACCTTTTTCCTGGAATTGACTTTGCTTTTGCGATTGGTTTCGGTGAATCAACAGTTGGGGCTATAGCGCCACCTGTTGCTTTGGCATGCACTTCACAGTCTGGTAATACATTTTCATGTGGAGAAAAGTTTATTCCTTGTGGGGTGGAGATTGTGACCGGTAGAGTTGTAGTAGAGCCATGTGATGAAGGTAAATCCTGTCAGGGAGTTGTGTTTGTGTGTCAAATTGAGTTAACGTGAAAATAAAGTGGATGCATGAAGTCACGTCTACTAAGTGCACAAGTTTGGCAAAATATTTGGAGCAAAGTAAGTGAGGATTTTTTAAAATTTTATTGATGCAATCATGAACTGTGTGTGCCTTTCTAGTTTTCAAACCTTTATTTAGGGGCAAATTTTAAGTCACAAGTCCCCAATACAATTGAATTGAATTACGTCAAACTATCATATTCAAGTGGCTTCCAGTTTTAGTAAATATGCTCATGAGGAATTAATCCACTGCCTTATTTTTGCTCAACGTGCGACGATGCTCCTGAAATTGAATTATGATTATAGTAGGAATAGCAAAGTACTGCATAATTTTAGATGTTACAAAATGAAGATACATTGGCTTAGATGAGTTGGCCTTAGAGCGGCACCTGTTGCTTTGGCATGCAGTTGACAGCCTGTGAATGCATTTTTGGAGAAGTTTTGATGGAGTAGCTATAGAAATAAGCTGGATATCAAGTCATACTGTGGCATGTTTTCTTGGTTTGGCCGCTGCGTCTTCTCCAGCCCCAGCTTGGTGAAGATGCCAATCAGTGCCATGATGGCCACCAGCCCGCAGATGACATACACGATCATGTTGGTCTTGTCCTTGGCGGAGTCCTGCGCCACATCCACCTTAGACGGCGGTCTGCCGGTCATCATCCACGGCGGCGTGTCGTAGTTCTTGCAGGTGGTCTGGTCCAGCCGGGAGCTGCGGAAGGCGCAGCAGAACCTGAAGCCGCACGTGCCGCAACAGTACAGGTAGTTGCCCGTCTGGCACACAAAGGGCGGGTCCCACTGGCCCATCACGTCGTAGTAGCCGCGGCATTTGTCCTCCGTGTGCGGGCTCTCCGTGGCGCTGCTCGTCACGGACTCCGCCGACTCGTTGTATCCGCTCACCAGCACCAAGTCATCCGCCGGGCGCTCCCCCTGGCAGTCCGCGTGGCGCACGGCCACTTTGGCGAGGACGTAAGCGAGCAGCAGCTCGGCGCCGCGCATCTTCGCTCACTTTGGTTTGTTTTGTTCCCCTCCGCGCACGTGGACGCGCTCACATCCTCCGCCTGGAGAGACGTGCGTAAAAGTGGTGTGGATGCAACTTGCCATGCGCCAAACCAAAACACCGTGCGTGCATTGGTACTCCTCGATGCAATGCAGTCTATTAGTTCTGGCTCGGTTTTGACGAAGCGGGATGGAGAAGGAGCGGTGATTTTCTCTTACTTTGGTTGCGCTGGAGGTCGTCAGCCTCCTCCAGGCTGCTTCTCTCCAGCACCGAGTGGCAGCAGACAATACAAGTTGGGTGAGGGAAGATGCACAGGAGAGAGGTGGAGCCTGCTAATGTTTATGTGGGCAGGCTGTGCGAACTCTGCTCGCATTTTTGCCACTTGTTTAAATAATTCAACAGGTCTCTGGTCTTGCCACCGACCCTCATACATATGAGAAACCTGCCTCATGATGTCCTGGAGAGGAGGATCCCATTTGAACGCGTTTGGCAGAACTGTTGCTTAGCACGGCTGCAGTGGAAACGAACCTGACAGATCCATGAGACAAAAATATCGCCTCACCCCCCCAAAGAAACTCGCCAAGACTGTCGTCATGGGAACAACTGCTGTTGTCAGTGTAATTAAGCCGCACTGCTCACCTTCAACAAAATGTTAACTGTGGTAAACATGTACTGAAAATCAGAACTGATTTCTAGCCTCTCCACTTCCTGATCCAAGCCAACAAAGTCCTGATTATCAGCTGTCACTTATTTTATCCAAGGCAATTATTTTGTGGTGCGCGGTGTGCTCAGTCATCTTTACTCCCTGATCTGCTCAGAAAATAGTCCATGCTAACAACTGTAAAGGTTAAAGATGTCGATATCATAAATTCTTGTGTGTGGCCAAGGCACACATGATAATGGTGGGAAACGGAATGCCACTGATCACGCTACGCCTGACTGTTACAACTTCTCTTTATTCTTCTTTGTATTTTCCGCAATCTAGATGCCCTGTGACACCATGCTGCCTCTCATAGGTCAGTCTTAGTACTGCAACAGACATCTGGTTTGAGGGGATACATTGGAAGTTATCGTTTGTGTTTTTTTTTGTTTTGTTTTTTTTTGTTTTTTATGGGATGGTACAACCCGGATACATATTGCTGCATTTTTTTTAAATAATGGTGCAGTATTTTATGCAGTGTCAAAACTATTTTACAAGTCCGATCAGGAAGAAGATGAATATGTGCGTTGCTCCTGACACTTACGTAGACTGTTTATTGCGACTCTTGTCTGCATGTTCTCATAGTGCAGGCCCAGGCTTATCTCGTCCGGATGTTCTGAAGCGGGATGACGGGTCACATGCGCCAAAGGTCTGCAAAGACAAATACTGCATGGGTAATACAAATATCCAAACACATTCTAAAGGATGCAAACAGAAATATGAAATGCTGTAGTTATTGAATTTTGTGTACCGTTCTGATTTCATATGACCTTTTTCCTGGAATTGACTTTGCTTTTGCGATTGGTTTCGGTGAATCAACAGTTGGGGCTATAGCGCCACCTGTTGCTTTGGCATGCACTTCACAGTCTGGTAATACATTTTCATGTGGAGAAAAGTTTATTCCTTGTGGGGTGGAGATTGTGACCGGTAGAGTTGTAGTAGAGCCATGTGATGAAGGTAAATCCTGTCAGGGAGTTGTGTTTGTGTGTCAAATTGAGTTAACGTGAAAATAAAGTGGATGCATGAAGTCACGTCTACTAAGTGCACAAGTTTGGCAAAATATTTGGAGCAAAGTAAGTGAGGATTTTTTAAAATTTTATTGATGCAATCATGAACTGTGTGTGCCTTTCTAGTTTTCAAACCTTTATTTAGGGGCAAATTTTAAGTCACAAGTCCCCAATACAATTGAATTGAATTACGTCAAACTATCATATTCAAGTGGCTTCCAGTTTTAGTAAATATGCTCATGAGGAATTAATCCACTGCCTTATTTTTGCGGCGTGGTAGCCGCGGCATTTGTCCTCCGTGTGCGGGCTCTCCGTGGCGCTGCTCGTCACGGACTCCGCCGACTCGTTGTATCCGCTCACCAGCACCAAGTCATCCGCCGGGCGCTCCCCCTGGCAGTCCGCGTGGCGCACGGCCACTTTGGCGAGGACGTAAGCGAGCAGCAGCTCGGCGCCGCGCATCTTCGCTCACTTTGGTTTGTTTTGTTCCCCTCCGCGCACGTGGACGCGCTCACATCCTCCGCCTGGAGAGACGTGCGTAAAAGTGGTGTGGATGCAACTTGCCATGCGCCAAACCAAAACACCGTGCGTGCATTGGTACTCCTCGATGCAATGCAGTCTATTAGTTCTGGCTCGGTTTTGACGAAGCGGGGTGGAGAAGGAGCGGTG